GAGCGTCGTCATCAATAGTCTCAGCTGGCGACTCGCGCATGCGCGCCCACCGCCCGCCCGCCGGTCCGCTCCCGGCGGCAGCTGACGACATCGACGAGCGGGGCGCCGATTCGAGCACGTCGACAGTCTCGGGAGCATCAGTCCCTTGTCTACGGCATATTTCTAGCAGATGACTACCATCGGTCCTCGCCTAAGGATCTAACAGCCAACACTAATATCCTGGTTGAGGCCACCTCCTCACCTCGTTAGATCCGCAATCAAGGCGCAACTTTGTCATGTTCTGGCAATGTTCTGAAACTTAGCGGCAGTAAACTGAACCTTGTGTTGAAATAAAAGAACTTACTAGAAGTTCCAGTCAGCTGGGGACAGTATGTGTTTATTGTGAAGACCTCTTCCTAGGATCTCACAACGTGGCGACCCATATGACTCGCCCAAACAGCGTTGGTGTTTTCCATCGTGGCCTGCGTCACCGTCGGCCCTTAGGTTAATCGACTGCACCACGTGGCACTGCATGGACATAAGGTACTTGCACGGGCTCACTATTTGTGTAGTAAATGAAAGAGGGAAGATCTAAGTGGCAATAAAAGTTCCATTTCTTTCGCAGCCTTGAGCGGCTTCGAAAGACGGAAACTAGAAGCAACCAGCCCGTCTTGGATATTGATTTGAGCTTCCGAACCGTACCATCCCTTTAAGTCCTGCAACTTGATATAATACTTAGATATAGCTTGATTTCCTGATGGGATCATCTCTGTAGCAAGATATGTTACCTATCATCTAACATCCAAGGTGAAGCAACCGCCATCGTGACTCTCGAGTCCGGTAGATATGCCAAGTTGAGACTGGCATCAATTGCTACTATATACTCTTTTTAAACAACCGAAAATATAACAAATCTGAACCTCGCATGAACGAAACCACCAAAAGCTAAGGATCTCCGTACTGCCAAATCCTATCGCTTATCACACCGGGACATCAACTACCGCAAGAGCCACTTCAACAGTTCTATGCATCGTGACATTACAGAGCTCACATAGGCAAACTAACGCCCTGTTGAGAGTGTGACTGGTGTGAAGTACTATTCTTCCTCTTCAATCGCCTTCTTATTGAGGGGCTCGTACAACGGACGCCAAAATTGTTGCCAAGCCTGTTTGAACTGCGCGGCGGTTGGGAATTCATCTATACCGCCACGAACAAACTTGGCCCAATCCATCAGATGATCCGCACAGGCGTTTGATCCACCAAAACATTCCACCCAGAAACATCTGAAACTGCGTCAGCTTTGTATTCACATATGTGGTTGAACTTGGCTCACCTGTGAAACTGCTTTGATTGGCCAAGGTTCAAGCTGTCAGTGGCGACTTTACACGCCCACACGCAGGTGACCTGTTAGTTGTGGTGTTAGTCAGAGGCAACATCATGTCATGATTCATGGAAAACTTCTGCAGAGGACAGAGGCAAGCGGATTCACAATGAGAAGTGCTATAGCCGATGTGGCGCCTTTGACACGTCAAGAGAATGAAGTTACTCACGCAGTAGGCAAATGCGTCACTCATGGTTGGGAGATCTGCCCTTCCGGTGAGATTGAGGGCATGTTCACTGATCTCGACGTCCGTCGTACTAGTGATCACAAGGAAGAGAGCGAGTCAGCAAATTTTACTTCGGAAACAGGGTTCGACAAGAGCTATTGACAGCCTCTCTTGGTTGCTTGATGTACTTACTGTGATTCAAGATCGCGTCGCGAGTTTGGGTTGCCGCCTTGTCTTTCTTCGGTTTCGATAAACAACTTTTCAAAAGTAGCCCTTCCAGCGTTCATTGAGTCGAGCAGCAGCATTTCGTCGCTGTTTGTGGTGGTAATGGCTGGCTCAGGGACGGTTCTCTTCAGCTCCTGGTCCTCGGTATCACTGGTGATACCCCGGGTACTACCGTCGTCGATGACGCCCGCTAGTGCCAGGGAGAGGCACAAGATATTGCAAATGAAGATCTTGAAGAACTGCATCTTGTACTCTCTTGAAGAGATCGGGTGATACAGGTAATGTTGGTAAAGAGGTAGATGATGCTGCAGTTCTGTTGTGACACTACCTCAAAGTTCGTGGGAACTAGGGTTTATTATATAGTTGAGGTTTCAAGTCTAATGTCGTAGCCCCGATAGCCTCATCATAGATAGAGGTGCTTCAGTCGGTAAGCTCCCGCTGCCTGAGGTAAGACCGAACGGATATTAGCTCCTCAAGTTTCCATTTTGTGAGTTCAGTCTCCAGATTTGCGCCCTCGCATGCCTATCCTTGAATACCTAGTTCTTTTCGCCTTGAGAATCGGATTTCCTTCCCGTTCGAGGACTTGACACACCTGAAAGCGACATTTTCGGACGACACATGATGACCATGAGATATGAAGTCAACACCCAAACAGCGTTGTTTGCGCGTGTGTGCATCATGTTGTCTTAGGTTGAAAGCATCCCGGAAATACTGGTGTTGATGTGTTCATCTGATATTCTTGCCTCTGAGATTAGTATGTTACACATGGAGTGACACAAACTTCATCTTACAGTGAAGTCCCGAGTGGAGGTATCGAAACGAAGACCTGATCCCAGAATAGTTTGTGGCACGGCGGGTAGGTTTACTTTAACCAGTTTGCAATCGAAGAAGTAACCCTCAACCTCTCAACCTCTCAAGCCACGCGCTGGCTTGAGCGTGCAAACTGGCCTATGATCTCGCGATATGTATGTCGAGACGAGCCGGAGGTAGCGAATAGCAAATATGACTTTCCTAGATATCGTGCTAAACAATTAGGAATGCAATCTATCAAGCAGCTGGGGCAAACAGTTCAGAGGAAATCTGGCGACCAACACTGGCAGAACGACAGGTTCATTCGTGTAAGCCATGAAACCTGCGAACAAAGGAAATTCTATACTTCGTTGTTTGCTTAGTCAAGACTTGCGTTCATTTAGGTGAGGTTGGTTTGCCGTGGGCTTCGAAACCATGTGTTTGCCAATCCAGCTTATCATCAGATCGACAATCATCATAGCAAAGACGTTTGGAGCCAGGAGAGGTTCAGCGTCAAGATTATCTCCTCGGCTTTGCATCGTAATTGATTGGCCATCAGGCAGCAAAAGAAATCTTCTGCTAAGAATGCGACAACATACTTCAGACATGAGCCTTGACCAACTCCGCACGCACCATGAGATCGAGGCGACAAACATGTGCATCTTCTAGTTTGTCTGCTGGTTGGGATGGTCGGTCTCGGATGGCGCAGTCATCCCACCGAAACCAAGAATAGCTAGAGTAGCATTACCCTATGAGCAACTTATCTCGAATCAGTCCGAGTACTCGTACTGAGCACTCGTAACTATATAAGTTCTTAACCAATGTCACCTCCCACCTCTCTTTGTCAATGTGTCTCTCATCCACTCATCTCATCGAGAAAACCCCCTCATTTCTTTTCAACAACCTTACTCTCATCAACATGAAGCCTGCTGCTTTCCTTACCGCTATGGCGATTGCCAGCTCTGGTGTCAATGCCGACTGTTTCCCCAATGGCATGATCGGCCACTATGGCACATGGCTCAAGCAGAAGATTTCAGCCATTAATACGGACCGTCTTTCTCTTGCCTGCATGGCTATAGCCGGTGCAGCCAAAGAGTCTTTCGTTGGTGAGGAGGTTCGGACATACTGCATGCAGGAGGCGGATGGCCTGAAGTGGGACTTTTCCATCAAGGTACTTGGATACGCAGCGATGTCTTGCATCGTGGATCTCGCTTTGTGCTTCTTGTTCCAATTAAGGTCTTCTAACATACGATTATAGAACTTGAACAGCGGCAAACGAGTTTTAGGACAAGCCGAGTGTATGTCTGGGCTGTCGAAGGAGGCTTATGGGTGCTACAGAGGAGGCAAAACATCCTATTGGAATTGGCAATACATGTAAGTTCGTCCTCGACTCCCGATCTTCACAGTGACCCCAGAGCATCTTCCTCTAACAAGTGTCTTGTAGTTCCGATCCTAATGCTGGCAGCTGCATTGGAAAGTAACCGGACTCACCTACTCGCTCTTTCTCTTGATATCGCGACTGCATTGTCTTTTTCTTCCTTCATTCGTCTGAATCATGGAATCAGAAACCTCCTGTCTACTTATTTTCATAAGATTATTCTCAATTTTTGAACAAATTTGTCTTTGTATCGTATGAGTGAAACACATCAATGCATGTGCATGTGCCTATGGTAGCAAACTTGAGCCGATCAAGTCCTGGGTTATGACTCCGCAACACAAGGTTACGAATATGCGAGTAGAGAATCGGAAATCAAGAACAGCATTGAGAGTATCTCATGCTTGATAGCAAATCCATTTCTGAATGACCAGGTTCCTCAATTTTGGCGTGACGAAGACATAAACTGGGATATCATCCAAGTCATGTTATGATTCCTGTCAATTCAAGTTTCAAGCCACAGATGATGACATCTCACTTGCTCTTTCTATATGCAGCCTTTGCTTACACACCCGAAGCTGGTAAGTCTTGGCCTAGACATCAGCAGGAACAATTTGACAAACAATTCATCACTAAAACTGAGCCCGAGGTAAGCTGCAGGCCAAGAAACACTGTTTTTCAATGTTTTAGAAAGCAGCCTATCGTATCTGCCCGTAATCTCGGTGAGTATTTTAGTAAATCCATCATTGGGCCATTGCCGCAAGTCCGAAAGCAGCTGAGACGCCATGGCTGGCTGAGGGCGCCGTGCTTACTCTGCCATTCCGGCTTCTTTCCCGAAGAAGAGATATCTTATGTTGATATGCGCCACCATTACGAATCTGAAGGACAATTTACAGGCAGCAGTTCTGCCTGAAACTTGGCAAAGGTGTCGCAATAGTGTGTACATAGAAATATGCATGACTTTCCGGAGGAACAGCTATACATATATAATCTATGTTCTTGGTGTCTGCTAGCCATCCACTCCGGGGTTATCTGTGATAATTTCATACCTAAATCACCAATCATCAGACTCACTCACTCTCAACATGTCTTCAGATGGAACTCAGGGACCCGTGCTTGTCCGCGGCATCAAGGCAGACAATCCAGGTATTTTCTCCTATCAATTGGCATAATCCGCCTCTGTGATTCATATCTAACGTCCAAAAGCCAAACCTCCCGTGCGCATGGAAGTGCGCGACATGATCAAGGACCATCCTGATCAGTGGAATTTGTATCTCTTGGGCTTGGAGAGGTTCCAAAACTCGGTGACAGAAAGCGCGCCTCTCTCCTTTTTCGAGATCGCAGGCAAGTACAAATTTCTTAATTTGCGTCAACATCCATCAACCCCCGATAGTCCCGTGGCGACGATATTTGCTTGTCACCCGAGAAGTATTCCCTGACCCCGTCGAGGAGTCATCTTTTGCTTTTTGGTCAGATGAGCTAAAGAATTCCGCTCTTAATGGGCCCCGAGTCGTTGTCCATAAACTGTGACGGTCCCGTCCAATAAGATTAATGCACTGGAGGCTGAAATGCATGGAAAGAGGATTGTAAGGTTCTGACTTTAGCAGGTATCCATGGGCTTCCGTACAAGAAATGGCCAGACAGGGACTGGAACAACAAGATGGTCAGAGTCGACAATGATTTCGGCGGATTCTGCACTCATAGCTCGATCCTCTTCCTCACTTGGCACCGTCCATATCTTGCTCTATTCGAGGTAAGCTCTACTACCCACCGTCAAAGTGACACTTTCTAACGTGCCTCAGGCCGAGCTGTACAAGCACGTCAACGCCGTCGCCAACGACTTTGATGAGAATGAGCGTCGAAGCGACTATGTGAAGGCGGCCAAAGACTTCAGAATGCCATACTGGGACTGGGCTCGACCTGACCTTGGAGTCTTTCCAGCAGAGGCTACATCCCAAGCTAGGGTCCAAGTCAAGCGTCCCCATAATAACCAGAAGGATTCTCGTATCGAACCAAACCCACTGGCAACCTACAAATTCCGAGAGTCGCGCACGAATACGAGCATCAATCAGGTAGTTTTATCTTTAGACCATTGCTATGTCTGCGTGATGCTGATCGGCGCTCTTAGTTCCCGAGGGTCGGAGGCACCATTCGTTACCCTGACCAGCCCAACAACAATAGGATGATCCAGAGACTGACACAGTTCTTTTCTGGAACCGACCCTCAACAGGCTTCAAGAGGCAAGAATTTGACGGAGCGTGTTATCTTCATCCTTCAGTCGTATCGTGACTTTGGATCTGCGTCCCACAACCGTTTCAACCCTCCGAAGCAACCGGGTCAGCCAAACTTTGCCGAATGGGGTAGTATCGAAGATATTCATAACGCTATCCATACCTACTCTGGAGGCAGTGGGCACATGGGAAACCCAGCAATTGCCGCGTTTGACCCCATTTTCTGGCTCCATCACACCAACGTCGACCGGTTGTTCGCCATCTGGCAAGCTTGCCACGACAACCCCAACGATCCATCCACCTATGTGACTGACCAACGTGCGGGCGAGAGTTGGGGTAACTTCATCGTCAAAGCCGGTGACCCGGAGACGATCAAAACCCCGCTGGCTCCATTTGCCCAGTCTGGTACGAAGGACAATCAAGTCTTCTGGACGTCCGAGGGTGTCAGATACACCACTGAGTTTGGCTACGTCTACCCGGAGACTCAGTCCTGGAAGTTCCCCACCAAAGAGTCCATCCTTAACGAGCTGGATCGTGTCTATGGCAAGACTGCCTCCTTTGCCAATATCTTGAGGAGTGGCGATGAAGACTTCAAATCCTCCACCGAGGAGTTCAAGAGTCGTGCTAAGGCACATTTGAAGGCTGAGAACTCCCCAGTCTCGGCCTCAACCTTCTCGCTGGCTGCCGAACAAGATGAGCAAAAGCCACTCCAAGAGACCAATGAGCCAGACGATTTAAGTCTTCCAGAGGGTCGTGAACTGAAGAGCTTGATCGGTACCGACAACAAGTACCTCGAATGGCTTGTCAACATCAAGGCTGAAAAGGCCGAACTCGGAGGCAACTACGTTGTCCACGTGTTCTTGGGCAACCCCGACGATTCGATTCCCTTGTTGTATGTGACCAACCACTCTCACGTCGGTGCCTTTGCCACCTTCGGCCAAGACGAGAACACCTCGTGCAAAAACTGTCAACAGGGCCGTGCTTCAGGGCAGAGAATCACCGGCCAGGTCCCTCTCACTCTCGCTCTCGTCGAGCGATATGTTGCCGGCCTGATCGATAGTCTTGCACCGCAGCATGTCATCCCTTACTTGCAGAAGAACCTCCACTGGCGTGTCACATTGCCCAATGGTGATCTCCAGGCCAGGAGCAACCTCAACAACCTCTTGGTCAGTGTCGTTACGAATGAGGTGACCATTCCTAGCAACCCTTCGGATCTTCCACGATACGCCGATGAGGTGATTCCCCAACCAGATGTCACCACTAACCGTGCGGGAAGTGGCCGTGGCGATGGAACCGGTTATGATGGCACCAATTTCTAGATCAAAGACAGCTAGGTTGAGCATTGAGGCAATGAACCAGGAAATATGACTGGATTATGAAGAAACAGTATGTTGCCGACGTTTTCTACTGTCGAGCTGAATATCTAATTGACCAAGCCTCTAGCTGGAAACTACAACCATACTACTAGGTCGTCCTAGTAAACTCGGTGATGGGAAAATTCAATGTACTTAGTTGAAATGTCAGCAACCCAATTTAGTTATGTTAAAACGCAGTCTTTGAGATACTTCCACAGTGATGTTCAAGAGCGCAGAAGTCATGGCTCTACAAGTATTCAGTTGTAAGAGATGAGGCGCATTATGGATAAAAATATGTCCGTTGGGGTGATAACGTGACCGTCGAGGTGAGCCTGGCTAAACAGGTTATCCGGATCTGTAGGCCGAGACTCTGCCTTTTTGCGCGTTTGCTCTAACAGATACCAACAGGAGCGGCTGGGGATCGACTGGTGAACGACTTTCGCTTTCTGGTTAGAGACGCAAAAGAGCGGGCCGAATCGGTGGCTCTGAAGTCACTGCAACTCGCTGCAACTCAACTTCAAAGGGTCTAGAACAGTGGATTGGGACAGGGGCCAGGGGCCAGGGTGGCTTAAGGTTCTCGATCATGCTGTTGGAACATGGTCTTTTTTCCTCTTTGCTCTGCTTTTTTGGCCTCTTTTTTCCTCACTTGATTCTCTCTTGTACCCATAGACTCATGCAGTCGCCAATCCTCCTCCTCCCTTGGCGTCTGTGATTGCCCCCGGGGTAAAGAATAACCGAGGCGGTCGGATATCTTGCTGACAGCCCAGCGACATGAGAATCCACCCATGCCAGTGTTGGTGTGATTTTCTGCCCCCCTCTGTCTGTTGGTGTGGTTGGTCCAAAGTGCGAAGTGCGACTTGCTCAGCACGAAACCCCTGTCGCAAGGAGCTCGGAGGGAGTCCGGACGATTGGCCGGCGACAGCGCACGTTGTCTGAGACCAGCGCGACGCCCAGATGGGGGTTTTAGTCTGGTCAGCCCAGTGCAAACCGTACCCAAGCCGCCGGTTATCCGTCTTTGCTGATCTGAAATAGCCTGACAGCTGCCACGAGAGCCACTAAACAGCCCTCCGTGTATGCGATTTGGCGGGATTCCGATACACTTACTGTCAACTAGCCCACCGCCGATGACGTTGCCGGCTCCGGTATCCGTACGTCTTCTCGTTTTCAACGTCGAAGGAAGCCCCCCACAAGGCTGGTTCCCTCTCGAGTATGCACGTCCCTTACTCTTTGGATGTTTCGATCGGGTCTCAACAGTGTGGTTGGCTGCGACTACGAGGCGCCATGGACGACACGAAGGTGGACTAGAGCCAAGCTTTGCAAAGGATGGCTAAGCAACGGCGGCCCCTGTACAACATGGTTTTTAAAGACTCACAGTCATCAATATTGCCCGGTGCTGCCTAGGAATAGTGGGCAGATGCGTGTATCCATCACGGAACCCTTGCTGCCGATATAGTCCCTTGCCCTGGACGTGAGATATCCGACAATGCACGGTTCTTTGGAATCACCTGGGTAATAGCGGAACCTATCCTCTAAACAACCGTAGCATTTGCTTATTTAATCTTAAATCTAGAGGCACAGCTGCAGGTTGGGTTAGGCAGACCGTTGCTAGGCTATCTACTCTGTCAGTTGGCGAGCGGTTTTGATGTGACGGACAGGGGCCGCTCGGCCGATTCCGCACGTGTAGGCCGTCAGACGACAGGGATCGTGAGTGTCGCGATGGGTGAGCGGAAAGCCGCTAGTGTAGGATCCGGCATGACGTCCGGCAGCGCGGCAGTCTCCGGATGATTGGTCTTAAAGGGCCCTGAGCGGGCTCAACAAGCTTAAGATGTCGGGCGAGCAACCTGGCAGGGTTCAAGGAAAAAGCCAAGTTGGGAAGATGGTCTCTGGAGGAGGAGGACAAGAGGCCCAGAGGGTCCCGAAACACCGTACCGCTGAGCAGATCTACTACGTTCAGTCTCCAGAAATGTTTCCCGGGTCGTGTTTTGCCGTCGATCTCTCCCAACTTCGTATTCGATCAACGCAAGGAACAGAAGCTTTCGATGGGCTTCACTTTGGATGACATATCGCGCCGACTTCGCGAACGTACACGAGCTCTTACAGCCACCTTCTTACTCACGTTCCCGTATCAAACGCCGCGTGAAAGCTATTTCCCTCACCGCCAGCAAGAATTCTTCGGACTCATCGCACTCATGATGCAGAGTAAGCAGAGCCGGGCGAGGCAATTTCCCACGGCAAAAGCGGCCTTATCCAAATCATCAGGCTTGGCCCGCTGCATCTTTTCGCGCCGTCGTCCAGCGGCACAGCAGGCACAAGAGGCACAAAATGGCACAGCAGACAGAGAAACCACTCTAGACGTTGGAGACCGATATCCACACAACCCATTTGTTCAGAGACACATCCAACGGCGTCTCACAAAGCACTCACCCCCTGCTCTTCTCATGTAGCCCTATCAGGCAAGCGCCCTTCGTAACCCTGTCCAAGACGAGCAGGGCCCCCTTACCTCTCTGTTTGACGGTGGGAGTTTGAGGCCGTGTAGTTCCAGCCGCATGTACCGCCTACCGTTAGCCTACCTGCCTATCTCGCGATGGAGTCAGGTTGTCGCCATGCCAGGGGGTCACCATGGAGAATGGCGTACAGCGCCAGAGGGGCGGTACCGTGGTCGCCCTGGCCGGTTCGCAAGGCAGAAACCGACATGATGGGTAGACATGCGAGCCATACCTGACATGGCCCCCTCTTCAAGTGAAGGAGGCCACGATACATAATGCAGCGGCCGTGGCCTTTGGTCTCTCCCATGTGGTATTGTGGCTCTCCTGCAAGATCTGTAAACTCTGATTTCCGTGTCGATCACACTTGATATCGACAACTTGATCTGCTTGTCACGCAAGCTCTTGCTCGCCGCGACGATGAAGTTCACCACCTGTCTCGCCGGCCTCCTGGCCGCAGTTACGCAAGTACAAGCGGCGTCTGTCTTTGCCCACTTCATGGTATATTCACCTCTGATGCTGGCATCCCTGCCAGGCCCTTGATTTCATCGTCTCATGTCTCAGCTGCTAACATACTTCGCCAGCTCATCAACACCAAGAACTACACTCTCAGCGAGTTCGAAGATGACTTCAAGATCGCCAAGGATGCTCACATCGACGCTTTCGCCCTCAACATGGGCCTGACAGACCCCAACACCAACTCGTCTCTCGAGACTGCCTTCGTCGCCGCCAAGAACGTTGGATTCCAGCTCTTTTTCTCCTTTGACTACAACGGCGGCTACCACGGGGGCAAGCCCTGGCCCAAGGAGACTATCCTGGACATGGCAGAAAAGTACTTCAAGCTCGACGAGTACTTCAAGTATGCCGACAAGCCCCTCGCCTCGACGTTTGAGGGCACAGAGAACGCCGAGGATTGGATCGAAATCAAGAACAAGACAGGCGCCTTCTTCATTCCCGACTGGTCCTCTGTGTCTCCCGAGGACGCACTTGCACTAGGGAGCGGCGTTGCTGATGGACTGTTCAGCTGGAATGCGTGGCCAGTCGGTGACCAGGACATGACTGACAAGAGCGACGCTGCGTATGCTTGGGCCCTGAAGGGCAAGCCTTACATGATGCCCGTCTCCCCCTGGTTCTACACCAACCTCCCAGGCTACAACAAGAACTGGGTGTGGCGCGGCGATGACCTCTGGTACGACCGCTGGAACCAGGTGATGGATGTGATGCCTGCGTAAGTCAACCTTGCATGAAACTGTTTCTACCCTTTTATCATTCGAGTAACTCACAATCGATAGCTTCGTTCAAATCATCTCCTGGAACGACTACGGCGAATCACACCACATCGGTCCGGTCCGCACCAACGCCATGGAGGCTTTCGAAGTTGGCGAAGCCCCCTTCAACTACGCGCTCGACCATCCCCACGACGGCTGGCGCCACTTCCTCCCCTACCTCATCGACAGCTACAAAGCCGCCGTGGCCCCTTCGATCAAGGACGAAGCCCTCATGACATGGTACCGCGGTTCGCCCGCCCTCTCCTGCAAGGACGGCGGTACCACGGCCAACGCAGTCGCACACGACCAAGAGACCCTGACGGCAGCCCAGATTGTCCGTGATAAGATTTTCTACTCGGCTCTCCTAACGTCTGCAGCAGAGGTCACTGTCTCCGTGGGTGGTAAGGCGCAGAAGGGCAATTGGACCTCGACCCCTGACGGCGGCAAGGGCGTGTACCATGGAAGCATCCCCTTCCTGGGCACCGGCGACGTCGTCATCACCATGACCAAGTACGGGACCGAGATCGCCAAGATCGATGGGCGTAAGATTGCAAACGAATGCCCTGGGGGCTTGACCAACTGGAACGCCTGGACGGGCAGCACGAATGCCCTCCACGTCGACGATCCGAGCCCGTCACCCACGCAGACTGGAGGTGGTCCCCAATCCACAGCCAGTGATAATGACTCTGGGGCATCCAACCTCTCGCAAAATGGGTTAGTTTACGTTGTCTTCGCTCTCGTCAGCTTAGCTGTTGCTGGAGTGGTGTGAACGGGTCTGCGACTGCGATAGCTGGGACACACCAAGATGTCAATATTCGAACGTCTCTACCCCATTGAGAAACTGCGACTACGACTGCAAGACATCTCTTTAAGCTCAGTCAAAGCTTGCAGGCAGATTGACGCATAAGACTTACACAGTCTCAGACATGGGCGTAAGTTCGTAAGTATAGCCTTGTCAGCCCTCGTTCATTGTGCAAATGACTGACACATACTTCACTAGAGCGGCTCAATTTGGCATTGAATCTTCACTTCTCCTGTTCATGTTTACTTCAATAGGCATATACTGCCGCATCGACCATTTTAATGCACGAGTTCAGGGACGATAGCGTTATGAAGCTTTATGATTTTCAACTGGCAATTTTCATGTACAATACCAATACCCCTCTATATAGAACTAGATAGAACACACCTCAATTTCTGGGCTTTCGCAAGAGCTTTGGAAGAAAAAGTCTCAATCAAAACACACAATTTTGCACTTCTACTACGCCGTTCACGTTGAGAAGTGAAACGAACTCTCCCGTACGTGAACCCCAGGACGAATTGATTGAGTGCGGGCGTTTATCTACGGTAATCTCGACCTCTTGTCACGCGATGTAATGCCCGATCTCGGTGAACAGACTCACCGAGGGCGGGGATCAGCATCCATGCAGCGTGAGATCCAAGGTTGCGATCATCGAGCTGCCTTTCCGGGACTAGACGACCTACCGCATTGCGCTCAAGTAATTCAACTTCAGAGCTGCATGCATTCCTTAAACGGGGCACCCGGGACGTCATCCGATCTCACATCCTCCATCCTATCTTTAACCTCATCACCCCTCCCTTCAACCTCACTCATCCTCAACTCACTCCGTCCGCAAGATCAACACATCCGCAGATCCGCAATGCATTGGCTCATACCACTACTCCCTGCCGCCGCTCTATTCTGGCAACAGGCCGCCAGCGACCCAACGCCGAAATATAATCCTCTCCCGCCTCTCCGCGAGCAAGCCCGCATCCAGGATGCCTGGACCGATGAGCGCAAGGCGGGCATCCCCGCCCTCCTCAAGAAGCACGGCGTCGACGCCTGGCTGGTTCGCTCTCACTCACTCACCCCTTATTTCACAAGACGGCAGGATTGACACAAGCGATAGATAAGCCAACGGGAGTACGCCGAAGAAACAGTCTTTTGGTCCCTCAAACCGGCATCAACCTTCTCCGCCCGCCGCCGCACAACATGCCTCTTCCTCGCTGAACCCATCGCCTCCACCAACTCCTCTGACGGCACCAGCACCGCCATGCTCCCACAGCAACCCGGCTGCATCATAGGCTGGACCGCAGACGTCTGGGCGACGCTCAAATCCCAGCTCGAGGCCGCGAACCCAGCCACCATCGCCGTCAACGCGCACCCGGAAATCGCCTTCGCCAGCGGCCTGCACGCGGGCGAGTACCAGGCCATGGCCTCCGGGCTGGGCGGCGAGTGGACCTCGCGCATGGTCGTCAAGCCCGAGATCGCCGTCGAGTTCATCTCGGCCCAGCCCGCGTCCAAGATGCCGCGGTACAGGGAGATCATGGAGACGGCGTGGGCGATGATTGCCAAGGGGTTCAGCGAGGCGGTGGTCGTGCCGGGGAAGACGACGACGGGGGATCTGGAGTGGTGGTTCCGGGAGGAGATTCTGGCGCACAACTTCTCGACGTGGTTCCAGCCGAGTGTGAGCGTCGTCGATGAGGCGCTGCCTTGGACTATGAGATTGGAGACGACTGCTGATGAAGGTGCGGGAGGGAGGATCATTCAGTATGGCGACATGCTCCATGTCGATTTTGGGTTGACGGCTATGGGGCTGAACACGGATACGCAGCATCTCGGATACGTGCTTCGCCCTGGCGAGACTGACGTGCCTCAAGATCTGAAGGACGGCTTGAAGAAGGGTAACAAGCTTCAGGATATCGTGAGGCGAAACATTGCTGTCGGCAAGACGGGTAATGAGATGCTCAAGGCGTCGCTGGGAGAGATGCACGCCGAGGGCATTGATGGACGGGTCTATTCGCACCCAATTGGGGACTGGGGACATTCTGCTGGTCCTCTTATCGGTAAGAAGACGAGATATTTCCATCACAAGACCGTTGATCTGGTGCAGCGCTGACTTCGCATAGGAATGACCAATATGCAAGAGTACGTCTCGGCGGCTGGCGAATTAGCTGCCATCCGTAGTATGTGGTTCAGCGTAGAGCTTCTCGTCGAGCATTACGTACCCTCGAGGAATACGACCCTTTGGTTTGCCCTGGAGGAGGACGTGTACTGGGCTGGCGAGGAAGAGGGATGGCAATGGGTCTACGGCCGACAGGAGGAGTTCCATCTCGTGAAGGCGGCGAAGCAGCAACAGACGTCAGAGGAGTTGTGAGATGAGTCACTTATTCGTTCAACTTGTGTCACTTCACGTCGTACAGGACAATGCAAAGAAAGAGAGGACTGTTCGCTGACAAACCGAAAAAGGGGAATCTCATCATGAATTTGCTTTTAATGCCCGTTATTTACAACACATCCCAGTTTCCAACCAGCTTACGCCTTGCCATTCTCCCTCTTAATGGGAGGCAGCAGGCTCTTTGTCATCTGTCTTGCGTGCTGCGCCATGAGCGCGTCCAGGAGGACGATCGCCGCCATACCTTCAACGATGGGGATGGCACGGGGGACGACACAAGGGTCGTGACGGCCCTTGGCGGCCAGCACGCCCTCCTCTGAACCGTCGTAGGTCGCCGTCGTCTGGTCCACGCCGATGGTCGCGGGGGGCTTGAAGGCGACGCGGAAGTAGATGGGCGCACCGTTGGAGATGCCGCCCTGGATACCACCAGAGTAGTTGGTCTTGGTGGTCAACTTGGACCGGGGGATACCCATGCGCTGGGCGTCGGCCTGGAGCTCCGACTCGGGTGCCTTGATGAAGGCGTCGTTGTGCTGGGAACCCGGGATCTCACAGCCGCCAAAGCCGGAGCCGATCTCGAAGCCCTTTGTGGCGGGGATGCTGAGCATAGCGTGTGCAAGCGAGGCCTCGAGCTTGTCGAAGCAGGGCTCGCCGAGCGCCGAGGGTGGGTTGCGGATGACGCAGGTGACGGTTCCGCCAATGCTATCGTCGCGCGCCTTGTAGTCACTGATGAGGTCAATCATCTTCTCGTTGGTCTCCTCGTGCGGGCAGCGGACGGGGAGGAACTGGTCGACGGTCTTGCGGTCGACGGTGTTGAGGAGCGAGAGGAAGGCAGGGTTCGTCGAGGGGCTCGGGTGCTCGGGGGTCGGGGGGAAGAGGTGGCAGTTGCCGACGCTCGTGGTGAAGGCGGTGATCTCGGTACCGTAGGCTTCGCGCAGGTACTTCTCAGCGAGGGCGCCGGCGGCAACGCGGGCAATTGTCTCGCGGGCGGAGGAGCGACCACCGCCGGAGGAGGCCTTGACGCCGTACTTCTCGAGGTAGGTCCAATCGGCGTGGGACGGGCGGGGGAACATATCCATCGTAGAGTTGCCGTAGTCCTTGGGACGTTGGTCCTCGTTCTGGACGAGCATGCCAATCGGGGTGCCAAGGGTGACACCGAACTCGGTACCGCTCTGGATGACGACACGGTCCTTCTCGTTTCTGGGCGTCGTGATTGAGCTCTGGCCGGGGCGGCGGCGGTTCAGCTGAGGCTGGATATCGGACTCGGTCAGAGCCATGCCGGGCGGGACGCCATCGACAATGACGCCGACGGACTTGCCGTGGGACTCGCCGTAGCTGCGCAGAGGGGCATCTTATGTTAGTCCACGATTGGCCACGAGAGACGGACAGGAGGAATTGGGTCGGAAGAAGCGACGCACGTTGTGACCTTGAAGTAATTGCCGAACGTTGACATTTTTGCTACCGCTATAAAGGGGGTAAAGTTGGAGTGTGGAAAACGAGAGGAGGGGAGAGCGGTATGTAAGTTTGGAAAATTATCTGGGCCGATGTTCGGTGAGTCAACCACAGAAAGAAATCGGCCGTCTGCGGGGTGGAGGGGTTTTCTATGATGTAGTCGAATTGCCCCGTTAATCGGGTGGGTCTTGCTCATACAGGGGTGGGTGGCCTAATCAGGAAGTGGACTCTGTTAGATGCAATTTACTGAGAACCTCATCTCAACGCGTTGCTCACTCATGAATTCCGCCATTAGACGGCAGTAAATACATCCTAACGCGGCCTCTCTCACTCATCAACTCATCGAACTGACTTATAACCATTTATTTCCCCTCAATTTATCATCAAATCCTCTCTTATTCTTCCTATCACAGTCAAAACTCACCAGACTTTTCACAGGGGCTTATGAAAATGTCAATCTGAAAGTACCATCAAACCCGTCTCATCCAATATCCTACCCAGATCATCACAATGCTGCCACTACGCAGCATCCCAGGAACTTTGTTCCGCATCAGACCATCAATACACCAAACCTCCCGCCAAACCCGCTTCTTCTCCGCCCTCGCCGCCTCACCAACCTCAAAGACCCAAGTCTATACTTCAAACTCCCGCGACCCTTACGTGAACCTCTCCATCGAACACCACCTCCTCCAAACGACCCCATCTGACTCGACCGTCCTCTTTCTGTACACAAACCGCCCCAGCATCGTCATCGGCCGCAACCAGAACCCGTGGCTCGAGGTCAACCTTCCCCTCCTCAGGTCTCTTACCCCGTCTGATGCCATCGACCTCGTCCGCCGCCGCAGCGGAGGCGGAACGGTCTTCCACGATGAGGGCAATGTAAACTACTCCGTCATCTGCCCGCCCGCAAACTTTGACCGCGACACCCATGCAGAGATGGTCGTCCGCGCCCTCCGCTCCCTCGGCGTCAAGGGCGCCGCCGTCAACTGCCGCCATGACATTGTCATGACTCTCCCCCCTCCGCCTTCCTCTTCAGGAACCTCCGACAAAGCACCGGATACCACCGCTTCCGTAGAAGCGGCATCATGCAGCAAGCCAAAGGTGAACGCGGAAAACACGTTCAAGATCTCCGGCTCGGCGTACAAGCTCACCCGTCTCCGCTCCCTGCACCACGGAACGTGTCTCCTCTCGTCCCCGAACCTGCCGCGCATCGGCAGCTTCCTGCGGTCTCCCGCGGAACCCTTCATCAAGGCCCGCGGCGTCGAGAGCGTGCGCTCGCGCATCCGCAACGTGGGAATCACCGACACATCGACGTTCGAGGATGCGGTGATTGGCGAATTTGGAAAGATGTACGGTGACTTCACTGTCCGGGCAGAACTGGGCGAGAAGGATGCGCTCGGAGAGGATAAGGTTAAGAAGGGACTCACGGAATTACGGGTAAGCTGACATTCCTTCTCCCCTGGTTCGGCGATAGTCATGGTCAGAAACTAATAGGCATACACAGTCTCGGGAATGGACGTATGGCCAGACCCCTCTATTCACCTTCTCTACACACCCCTCTGAAGAAGACACGCGGGAACGTCCTCAGCTCCCGGGCAACGTGAGTGAACATCTTCATCTGTAGTCTTTCGTCGTTTCGTTCCATCCATTTTTGCTTGATTTTGCTTGACACCTTCAACGCTCCAACATGTAGCCAATCTTCCCAGCACAAGCAGCTGACCCCGTCCAGTTCAACCTCACATTTGAAGCCCGCCACGGCCTCGTCCAAAGCTTCTCCCTATCCGGGCCTTCCTCTAGTCAAGGGTCGGCCAAGCTCTCGAAGTCCATGATCAACACCCAGATCTGGGAGGTCGCAGACTGGGAAGAGCGTCTCCGCGCGGAGGGTGTAGACCACAGCGAAGCGTCGACCGTGGGAGATTGGCTAAACTCTGTGCTGGCAAATGGAAAGTAAATCAATCTCAAGTGCGGATTGATTTCTATTCCCAAAAAAAACTTATTCCTGTACAATAAAGAAGTTGTGAAGCTGGGCAGGGCAGTGTACCATGCTACATCCAAAACGACGAGCCTACTGCAGCATATCGTGCCTAGCAAGCCGTAATTATCAGCATCTCTCATCACTTTTGTTCATCTCTAGATCATTGTAAATGTCTTTTTCTAACAATCTCCTCTACCAAGGCACTCCAAAAAATCCCGAGAATTATGTTCAGACCTTTTCTTCCTCCTCTATTCTTCTAGGTACGCGCATCTGGCTTCTTTCTCCGAGTATTTGGCACGTTCGGACCCACGGCCTAACAACAAATTTTCTCCAACGACGCAACTTTCTATCGGTCTTTTCATTGTGTTACCTTGCAAGGCACTCATATCGTCTTTGCCAGCTCCTTCAAGTATGTCGCTTCGCTCCTAAACCAAGGCAGAAATGGCTTGACCGTCGTCAGAGCCAAGGCTCTGGAAGCCACGGATCACCCCCTCTCTGCCGCCCTTTCGCATTTCCTGATTCATCTTGAACTTCCCCTCCAGGCGCTCGATAGCGATCTCAATGCCAATGATGTTCTTCTTCATCAATTCAATGTAGCGCTCAGGGGCGTCCGCAACCTTCCAAGGGCCGGATCCATCTACCTTTCCAGTGTGATCCATGACAGACGTCTCAGTGTGCCTGGACAAGTCATCAATCTGCTTCGACGCAGTTTTTCAGTTGCTGTCGAAGTACATTGTTGCTCGGCCGTAAGCCTGGACAGCGGTCTAGTTCCAAGTGGGAATAACCTTGGCAGTCGTAGGTTTCGTCTCGGTGTAGGACTTGGGTGTAACATAATGAGGAGGTGCGGCCGTGAATAGCACGAGAACCTCCTGGTCGAGTGTCGTTGATTCAGTACCGGCAGATTGGATAGCTTCGGCCATTGCCTTGCTTTGGGTTCTTTGAGGTCTCAGCCTAGCCGGTATCAAACAGACACCGATTTTTCCATGCCTCAGCTACATGAGCGCCCTTCCCTTGAGGGCAACACAACCCTGTATGGTGCCACCAGGCTCCTTCATGATGTTGCCAGCGGTGATTTCTGGACGAGTTCAACATCAAGCAAAGACAAGACCAATGCCTTCCTGAAGAGAGTCGCCCAGAATCGACTCATAGCACAAGCTGCCACATCGTATCAGAGAGAAGTCGTCTTCTACTCCACGCCTAGCGTCTTAGCTAACGCGGACTTTGATGGCGTCTCTGCGGATATTGCGATGCATTTGCTCGAATTGCACTGGAACCGATTACACTACACATACCTCTGGACATACCGTCCCGCAATCATGGATAGCATCTTCAACAATGGACCCTATGTCAGCAAACTGCTGCTGAACGCGATTTTTCTACAGAGCAGTCCCTTCACTGATCTCAGCATTGTACGCACATGTCCCGAAGATCCTTCGATAACAGGTATGGGCTTCTACGATCGCTTCAAGGAGTTGCTCCCTCAACATGTCGACAATCCGACTATGCCTACGGTGTTGGCACTCGTCGTATGTGGGGTTTATCTAGTTCCGTACGGCAAACAGAGCGCCGGGCGGGTGTACTGTGGCATGGCGTACAGAGTGATGGTTGATCTAGGCTACCACCTAGACATGCCGCGCGGTATTGATCCCGAGTCAAAGAACGGGGTATCCGTCACAGAAAATGGAGATGAGACGGAGGATCTACTGGAGCGCCTGTACAAGCGACAAGCTCCAGTCACTCTACTTGAGCTGTCCTCCGGGCCTGCTCTATAAGGACGGCAACATCTCCAAAGTGTTTCTGGGCTCATACGAGGAAATGGAGCAGTGGAATCCTGGTAGCGCGAGTATCAGCCCAACAACAAGCTACAAGGAACGCCCGGCCTATGCAATCAGCTGCTTCCAAGGTATGCTACAGCTTGCTGCAATAGCAGAAGACATCATACAACACTTTTACTCCGTCAGAAGTGCTTAGACGTCGATGCCGGATCTATTACATTTTCGGTCTCAAATGAGGGAGAAACCCAGTGAATGGACGGATAGTCTACCAACTCACCTCCTATTCGAGCTAGGCGAAGATGACACTCCTCCGCCTAATCTAGTTTCACTGCAGTGACTTGAATCTTATCCTTGTTGATGTTACTCGACTCTGATTAACAAACCAATTCCAGAGTTTCATACTGGACCTTGGTCATCTTGCTCAAGCAGGCGTTCCTGAACCGAGGCCACTTTCACTTTCCTATCGAGCCTGTCTCTAGAGATGACGGACGTCGGAGCTGCATCGACGCCGCATTCAAGATTTGGCGTCTGTTGGAAGCCTATGACACGTGCTTCACGCTCAGACACGCGCATTACGGGCTGCTTTATGCTGCGTATAGCGCTGTGTTGGTCATACTCCGGCATGCCCATCAAGATCAAGAACATTGCATTAGACACACCAAATTCTTCTGGATGATTTTGTCCGAGTATCAAAGAAAGTTTGGCCGAGGATTGCGGAAGCCGTTCAAGGTGCTCAAGTCTTTGATGCAGCAGATGAAGGAGGTATCCCGACGTATCAGTCTGGATGAGTCAAGCAACTCCAATGACCAGCATCCTGCGGGTGAGTTGGTGTATTCCACCTAGCAAGTTATTGCTCCTCGATATAGATGACTAACAGTTTCTAGTAGATGTAACTGATTCGACATACGATTTTGAGACACACGATGTAGCAGACACCACTGGTTGGCCCGACTTTTGGCAGGAGTTGATGGCTAACAATACCTCGCTTATGGATGACACTATGTTTGGGCTTTTCACGAAGTAACAAGACTCAACTTAAAGCATTTTTTAGTAGAGCTTGTAGTGATATTGTTTACCGTGGTTCAGCACCGAGAACCTATGAACAAGACAGAGAGTAGGGAGTGTGAAAGAACGAAACACCCAACTTCTCCTCCGCGTGTCATCGGTACATCGCCAACAATTGCATCAACGACATCACCCAACAACTTCAAGCAAAGCATGAGACACACCAAACATTCCAATCAGTCCATAGACCATTAACCCTATCCCCAGCATCTCTCCCATCTGCAACGTCTCATCAAACATCCCACTACTCGCGACGTCCGCTCTCACCCTTTCTCACCCTTTCTCACCGCATCAATATGAAATACAATCGACAGCAAAGTGATGAGACAACAACCAAAAGGCTCGTCCCCAACTCTTCTTCTTTTACAAATACCTTCCACCCAATGAAATCGGAGACGGGTCTCAAATCTTCAAGACTTCGAGACTTCACATCCCAAAAAGGATCCTCCACTTCTCGAATGTAAACCCCCAATGAGACAAAGATAAACAGAAACCACATACGAAGTTGCCTTCAACTGAGACATCAAAATCACCTTTGTCACGTTCTTCCCGCCTGACTACCGAAGCGGCTTCCGACGGTGTAACAAAAACACTTGAAGAAACACTGGGAAACGCAACGGCTTGGTGGGTGCACCTATGTGCCACGGTGCCACAGTGCCATAATCCCAACCCTCATCTACACCCACCTCCATTCCCGATATTCACTGCAATTTCCTCTCAGGGTCCTCATCAAGCATCACGAGTTTATCAACCGGCGATAAGAAAGGGCTCACGAGGCGGGAAGGAAGGGGGGAAGAGGGGGCTGGTGAATGAGACATCTCCAATCAAGTCACGCCTGCCCACCCCAAAAGGAGGGTTGGCAGTCCAAAAAGTTCAGGGTTTCGTACTTCCAGAGTCTCATTCGCCACACCTCTGGTTCATAATCACATAGAATAAAGTGGGAGACGTTTTCGTGTTCGTTCTCCAAGAGGACGACCAGCCACACGCGATGACATACTCTACGTTATCTGCCATGACTGAAGAACAAGACCCTGAAATAAGCCACCTCGCTCACATGTATCCATCCTCTCCAAAACCTGGAATTCCTTGTGTTACGCGTTCCACCTCCAGTCCGGATCTAGCCAAGGTAGCACACACGCACCATGGATCAAAAGGGTGAGGGAACGTTTCGTCACACGCTGATGTAAGTGTCACCACCACCACCAACCCGGCGGCCCGGCGTTCAAAGGCCACCGACAAAACACAAAGGAAACAAACGAAAGAGAGACAGATGAGGGATAGGAACGTACCTACCTACCTTACCTAGTGAGCCACCAACCTCATGCGAGCCCAAAAAGGGTCTGCCAAGATCAGCTTGACATGGCGGGGAAAACGAATCTACTGTACGTCTGGGGCATCAGGTTTGAGCAAACGTAGTGTAGATGCAACAGAAAGAAAAAAAAAGGTGTGGCTGCAGGACAGCAAACGACTAGACTCGCGTCGGCGTGCGTCAACCATTCACTCGGGCTCTCTTTCGTTATCGCCCATCTTTCGTGGCACTGCCATGCCTGCGTACACAGTAGATTGTCTATTGCGCAAGCACTTAGATACCACTTAGCTAGTACGGGCAGAGTACAGAGATAAGAAAAGAAGCGAATATGTGGTGGGTATTCGTCCCCCCGTCGACATGTGAGTGTGTCTCCGAACCGAAAGAATGACTAAACACGGTGAGACCTCGACGCGGAGGACCGAGACATCCGCAGCGATCAAGTCAGTGACCGAAATGGGTGAAAGTGGCTTGTTCTTCGTATCGCACTGCGCTTTATCCAGTTGTAGTACCCTGTGTTGGTCACACCATCACATGTATGCCTGTACTCTGTGTAGGTATACACATGTTTCCTCCTCATCCAAGCTCCAGCCTCGTCTCGTTTTTTTCCATCATCGTCATCTTCTCCCTTTCATCACTTTTCATCTTCTCCCCCCCGCCCGAAAAGAAATCATTTCCCGCTCGTGCTACCTACCCTTCTTGTGTAACTTGAGCTAAAGGGTTGAGGAGGGTGGAAGGAATGGAGGACGGGTGGGACACCATCCACGCAGCTCTGGAATTTCTGCAGTGACAATCTGAACATTCCATCATCCCCCTCCATCTCCTCAACCATAACTCACCAAAGATTAAATCCGCTCCGCAAGGGAGAGAGTGGACATGCAGGGTCTAAGAGCACAGAAGACGGCTGCTTAAAAGTCATCTTCATCATTTGATGCAAACCAGCTGAAGTGAACTCCATGTCTCGGCCATCCCATCAGTAAAAAAAAAAAAAAAAACCACGGAAGAGAGCGAAAACATACCTCTGTATCCATACACTAAGGTAAGCTTGATATCAAAGAGTGTCTGCTATTCCACCCAGATCAGCGCTGCACCCCTTCTTCGGTCCAGGTAGTTGAACCAACCCCCAAGAACCCCAGACCAGAACCAGACCATCGGCGAAATTGGGATGACGTGCAGCAAAAGCATGGAGAACCACCGCTCGCCCACACCCACCCACCATCCACTTAAACCCACACTCCCGAACGTAACGACCAAACTTCGCACACTCAGTACGCCGTCCTAAGCGTGAGAAGACAGCTCCCGGGGAGCGGCTCTGAGCGTGTAAACCACCACCCACGCAGCCATCAAATCTCCCTTGGGAATAGACACCTTGTGGAAAAAAAAGCAGAGCAGAAAATGCCCAGAATCTAGGTGCGTTGCTGCGCCGCGACCGCGCATGCGATGCGAGTCTTGAAAAGGAGTTGGATCAACTGCGAGCTAGGCCTTTGATCTATCATCTCGCCCAAAGATCACAACCCCTCCTCCTCCCTCTCACTGGCACCCCAACACTGATGTGCACTGCACATCACTCTAGCAAACCGGGCCTTTTGGACCCCCAGCGCATGTCACCCTAAAGAGAAACCATGACCCTGATTTCCGCCGATCACCGTCGACGCCGTTGCGTTTTTTTGTTCTTTTTTGCGCACCTGGATGCCGGTATTCCTGTTCTGTTCTCGTCCTGGCACACCTGTGATAAGTGATGAGCTAAACACAAAACCAATCCAAAGCTGCGAAACCGAGACATTCTTTTTGGAGAAACCCGGAGGTGCGGGTTGCATCGGGTCCAACGTAGGTATGGGTCGTGCGGGCAGTCAAAAGGCAGGCCCAACTGCGGAGGATAAGGGAGCCGTATGCTAGCACGGCTTTGCACGGGGCTAGGCGCGTCTCGCCTCAAGGTATGTATCCGTAGCCCATCATGTAAGTCACCGCATGTGGTTGACTGTCAACCTCGTCGACGAGCACCAAAACTTCGCACACCGGTCTGGGAGGAGGGTGGCCCTGGTGGGTGATGGGAAAGTGGTTGCCCCCGGTGTGAAAAGCCAATCAACTCGCCCCCTTGCCTAGATCTTGAGTGCCGATGGAATAGTAACACCGAGAGTGAGCAAAGATGGAGTCGGTTGGGGAGGGAATTCAATCACATCTTAGGTCAGCGCCAAATCGGTGTGATTCCCTCGCACTCGTCCGGAACGCCGTCTCGACGAATGATCGCGACCGTACGGCCCTCCGCACATCCCACATTTTTTTTTTGGTTTGGTTCTCCAGACAGCGACTCCTCCCCCCTTTCCGTACCCCAGATTCACATGTTGCTTTTTTTCTTAAGGCCCCTGGGGGCAAACAGGGCAGCGGGGATGGTGCTGGAGCTGTGCACGACGGAGAACAACAACCTCATGTGCCTAGCACTACTCCTTCATGGAGATTCCTTCCTCCGCGACATGCGAGCGACGTCTTCCTTCGGCGCGATCGTAATACCGAGTCAAGTCCCTGCCAACGGAGCCTTAGTCCGAAGCAAGAGATCAGCCCTTTATTTTATCGTCGTGGGCGATGAGGGTGGGAGCAGCTGGTGTTACTGGACAGTACGTGTTTGATGGTCTAGACATGGTGGGATGGCCCTTCGCCATGTGGTAGAGCTAGCCCCGTCAGCCAGCGAGCAATTATGATGCCATGGTGAGAAAAGACATCGAGTAGAGGTCTTTCCCTGTTCAGCTGTCTGGGGGAAAGGAAGATCCCACGGCTGCCCCCGCTACTTTAGTCGAGCGGCTTCCGGCCTCCCACACTTTTCCCCAGACGTCTGATATTTTGACACTTTTCTTTCCCCCAAGCAAAAGCCAGTGCACATAGCTCGTAGAGTGCGGACCGGGGGCGCGCAAGCCGCTCTACCTAGTGGCGAGAAAGGGAGTCCGCTGGCAGCGAGCAGTAATACGATGGCGGCCAGTACGGGGTGAGAGGCATTTAGAGATATGACGAGGCACATGCTAAACCTCAAGTTCCACCTCGCACGAGGTGTGATGGCTGGAAGCAGGGGGCAATGAGCAAGAAATTCAAGTCCAAAAAGAAGAAAGGGTACGGGATACAGTGCCATTGACTGCAACGCCGTACGCAGAGAGATGCCTGCCGGTGTTCTTTGAAACGGCGGAGGTCAAGAGAGCCTCCGGATGTGAGCAGTCATATTCTGCTAGGTGCTCTGTTGGGATGAAGGACAACAGGTATAATTTGGGGTAACCGAGCCGTCGGGGATTGCGACGCAGAAGGATTTCTGTTTAGCTCACAGAATGACCATTTCGCGGTGTCATGCCAATCATTCGAAACTCGTAAGGAAAAGTCGAAATTCCAACAGAAGTGAGCGTCGTCGCCGAAACGTCATGCTGTTTGGGGAGGCTACCTGATAGCATGCGCCGAGGTGATCGACACAAACCACCAACGGCCGTCCTTGGATCCTATGCGATTGACGTTGGATGGGGCGAGTTCTACCAAGAGAAAGGAACCAAAAAGGCATGCCTACCGTACTTGCTTTGATTTGCGTATGAACCCGAGCTGTGATGGATCGTGGAGGACGACTCGGGTTGGCCTGGATGTCTTAGCTCCCGTAGACTTGCAGATAGGATGATGCATGGTGTTGCTCCTCGACATGCGCGCGTTCCCTTCTCGTGGCCGTGCATTAATAGCACTGTCGCTTAGGGCGGGACGAAGAAAATAAAAGACCCCAATACCAAATTACCCCGGACAGCAGAGACCGACATTGGTCTGTGTGCGAGACAGACAAGCCACGACTCAGACTCGGGCTAGGTATTCGGGTGGAAGAGGTTGACGACGACAGACTCGTGCTTGGGCAGCTGATTGCGCAGGTGCTTCATAGTCGAATAACACGTACCAACCCCATCTTTCCCCAACCTCTCTTCCTTGGGACTTGTTGTTGTCCGTAGCTCTTATCTGCAGACTGACGAGCAGTCGGGTAATTAAATGGATGGTGATGCCGATGCACTTCCGGCCTGCGACATATATCCGTAGTTCGTCTTGCTGCAAGCTACGCCGCAAGCAGCAGATGCCCGCGTTTGTCAACGTAGTCAGGGACCCTGTGCAAAGCTGGACCAGCCCAGCGATTGGGGGGTTTCTGGACGGACAAGCCGCCGACAATCGCAGCCCATGCCCTTGCGGCCTTGCCTCCCTCTGGGCCTCTTCTCCGTAGTTCGCGGCTGGCTGCCCTAGTCTGGACCGGGCTATTTGGGGTAGATTTGCACCCCGTGGCCAAGGAGGGGTTGTCCCCGGGCATCGGAAGGGAACGCCAAAGCGAAGCCATCGTGAGATTTTTCTACCCCTCAGACTTGTTTGATGATTGGTCCCAAGCCCCTGCTCTCCTGCCACGTCGGCGTTTCTTTCGGGTTCGTTGCAGGGAAGGCAGGCTCACCGGTGAGACCACCCAGCCGTCCCTGGAGGCGTTTGGAAGCCGAAGCATCGTGAGCTTCACTTGTTTCAGTGGGTCTCGTGAACCTTCTATGGAGAAACGACAATGGAGGTACCACCTCATTCCGCTCTGACAGGCTCTGCCCGGTAGAGAGGAAGAACCACATCGTGGGCCGTTCTGGAATTTGGACCCTTCTTTCCTTTTTGGATAGTGGTTCCGAGTTCGTGGCGGCCCAGATTCTTCGAGGCCCACGATGCATCTATTCCTTACCTCATATATTGCTGAACTCAGCGGGGACGTCTTTCACCGACCGGTAGTAGAGACGGCCATTGGAAGTTACCCATGGCTGGTCTTGACGAACTTATACATGATCCAGTTCTGAGTACTCCGTACAGGGTATTCATACATCCGCCCTGCGGCGTGGTCACCGTTGTTTTGTTGGGTTGGGGTAACACGAGCAGGGCGCTTGACCCGGGAGCGTTTGGGCTGTGAGCAAGTTGTGAATGTTGTGGAACGATTTTCTGGCCCGGGATCGTAAAAATCTCAGTCAGAGACGAGATCCGCGTGCCTCAATGGCTGATATTGATAATAAGAGTTGTTGGTCCGTGTATGCTCCAACTTCACTGCTCATGTCTACCCAGGGTGCCGGGCTAGAGGCATTGAACATACGGCAACGTTTAGGTACAAATTGTTTGATATACGTTCCTCGTCTGCATTTGAAGCTTTATTCGTGAACCCAACTATGCCGACTCGCTGAAATCTTTCTCGGCGTAGTGGACCTCACTGCTGCGGCGCTATGTCCGAGTTGACCAGGGATAATCAGTGATCGTCGATACATTCGAGCAGAGGCCCAAACCCCAGAAGCGCTAGACAGGGAGGGTAAAAGGCCCCGGAGAAATTCATACCTGACTGTAAGCATGCGATGGACGGAGGTTTCCATTGCATCGAGCCGATCCAGTCTCGAGTCTCGACCACACCCGGCTCACAAGTATACAGGTAAGATTGATGGGCATCGGGCTGGTTGTTGGAGATCATGGCCCGGTGCGCCGTGGCCCCTTCAATCTCTACGAGCGTTGGGACCGAAAAGACACTGCGCACGCCGCAGACTGAAAGTTAACGTGCCACTGTGCCAGCGGTATGTGGCTTTCCGTGGTGCCGTCTCTTCCCGAGACTGACATTGCCAGCCGGCCAGCGATGCTAATCCGGATCGGGTAACCTGACGGAACGAGCTGACCTCAAGCCCGATCGCTTCTCGTAAGAAGCAGAGCTGGCTCGGCGGCTTTCTTTGGTTGTCAACGCATTGTCCAATCGCATGGCAACTCCAGTGGTGTTGTTGATCAAGCTAATGCCGTCGACGACCCAGGCTTGTGGTTCCTGCACTCTCATCACCTCTGTCGTTCAGGCCATTGTATGGATGGCGGGCAACTGGACCGCCACACTTTGAGAGAAGGAGTCATTTTGTCTTGCAGTCTCTGGAGGCTGGAGCTCTTGTCGCGTGATCTGGCCGGCCGTTCAAATGCGATGGTTGTGACAACTGTTTAATTGATCACTTTGACATAGCAACGCCCCTGTGGAGTCTCCGGCATTGAGAGATCTCCCAGTTGGACATGGCATGGCGAATGAGTGGGTGATGTTGCGCCTCTTTCGACACTGAAGCTGGGATAAAGCAAACCTGGCAACCTGCTGTGAACGTGATATTCGGCGGTTCGTCTTTGAATGCTCGAGATTCTTCCAGCTTCTGGTCCCGCCACCATGTTCGCTCCTAACGCGTTGTGCACTATCGTTTTCGTCCTTGAAATTTCGAATGATGACAATGATGCAAGCTGCGCGGCGGGTGGAGACCGTTAGGCCTCGACGAAACCAGCAGAATAGCCGTGGCCAAGGACAGCCTGGACAGGTGAGAGAACTTGGATGGTTGGGAAGCATCGTCCGCGCCGCATCTCCACCCGAGATAATTGACGGCGATGGAGGCTCCATCAGCGACTCCACACATCTACCGCTCCGACATTGACGATGGTACTGCGATGCCAGCATCGCTTGCTACATGGATAAGGGTAGTTCCAAGACCGCTGAGTTGAAGATCGTGCTTGATCTGGAGTCTTCCGAGGGCTGAGCTCGGGAGTAGGTGCAAGTCGGGTTGTAATAGGGGAGCTGTTCTTCCGCGAAATAAAAGCAACGGAGTCGAGCAAACTCAATGAAAGCAACGACAGCGGCAATACCGGCGACGAAACAAAACTCGAGTCGTTCGTTGATGGCTAAGCCAGGGTCTATCCTGCTTCACTTTCGCTTGGTGCGAGCGCCGCCCCTGATCGATCGATTAGTAGTTTCCTCGACTCTGAGTGGCTGGCTCATCTGGAGTGCGAAGAAAGTTAGCCCCCTATCCATGCTCATGGATGGAAGCGTATTATCGTAGCCATTGCCTCGATCGCCAGACGTCGTGATGCTAGTTATCATTTGATGACCCGAGACTATACAGCGATGATTACCGGCGGTAGAAGGCTGAACAGTCCAAAGCACCAACAGCGCGGATTGCTTGCCGAGGTGAGCATCCCTTCGACTGACAACGAGTGCCTCATGTTGCTCATTCCACGGTCGAAACCAACGGCCAAATGGCAAGTGCCAACGCCCTCGTCGCTGTATTTGCTGCCACCGAATGCTCCCCGATGGCCGGATGCCCCCGCTAAGAAAAGTTCGATATGTACATAGATTAGAAGACCAGACTGCTCTTACGACTATGTTGCTGGACTGCCGGGCAGTGGCTTTTCCGCCGTCCAAGTACATTCCAGGATGATGCGGTTGTCGCATTAGGGTCTCGTTCGTGGCGTCCAAGAAGGAACCATGCAGAGACAGGAGAGATGCAGCTCCGAAACTAGGCGACAAATGAGCGTTGCAGAGGGCGTCTTGCATCCAATGGTCATGTCGCATAGTGAGCCAGGAGAAGGACACTTGCATGCGCGTGCCTTTTGGTTATGGAGCTGACCCTGCAGTTGTTCAGAGGTGACTGGAGAAGCCAGTTCCAGATGCTGATTTTCGACCAATGCCGAAGAAAGAGTGCCTAGGTTCGCTGCTCATACTCGTCTGTCTGTGGTGTTATCAAGGTTTTGTTTCCGCCCGTAGCTGTTGGACCTTGTCAAAGAAAGACGGGATGAGCCACCTCCATGCGCGGGTTCTTTGTGTGCGGCAGGGTGATCTGAGGAAACGTCAGGTTTGCGGGCGCGACAGCCCTGGAAGGAGGACGTCAAGAAATCTAGATTCACATCTACCGGAAGGTCGATAGTCTCTCCGCGCCGTCTCTAACAGGATCAAGCCATGCCCTCCATGACCAGCAGTTTGTGGCGGTAGGCTGTAGCATGTCTCGTCATAACTACGCAGCCGGCTCCTCGGCTGCTACGCACGGAACAAGTGGATAGCCACCGCCGCCGGCCACCACTAGAACACCTGCCCGTAATCCGTACTGTGTAGATTGTTCAACGCCCGTGATGGATGGCCGAAAGCACTGTGTATGTGGAGCACCGTGGTCATTGATGTAGGTGGAGAAGATCGGTCGGTTGTGGAAACGCACGTTGTTGGTAGGGCGGCACGGCGGGAGTTGGGCTTAATGAACGGGGATCGAGGGCCGCCTGCGAAAATAGGCGACAAGCCCGGGAGCTAGGGAGACATCGGACCAGGGAAATGCCTAACGTCAAGGAAGCCCGTAAGGTAGCTGAGGTCTGGAGCCTGGAGTCTGGATCGCAGTCCAGGCCGTTGCCACCGAATACTGACATTGACAACAGCAGCGGGCAATGACAGCCAACTGCCCGAAGACGGATCAGGCTCCGTTCGGGTTGGGCCGCTGGTCCAGTGTGTTTGCATCGGCCAACTAGAAATTGTTGAATGATTGGGACCGAAGAGGTGGGATTTGTCCCCCAATGTGTGCCGTATTAGTCATGAGCATGGTGGCCGCCGGGTTGAAGAGCCGGATGAAAAGATAGGTATCCGTAGAGTACCTAGTCGACTACCTGGATAGTGTAATAAGGCATTCGTGGAAAGACAAGTGGAAGAAGAGGCGCGAGACACGCCCAGCACGCGAGGAGGCGTAGCGAAGGTCGATGGGTGGTTCCTTTGTTCGAATTGGTGCAGTCACTGCAGCACTGCCAGCGATGACATTTGGATGTCTTGGTGTCGTGCAGTCTTGGCCATCATCTTTGTGCTTGTCTTGCAGACTTTGCCGCAGGTCGGAGACTTGACTGAGTTGACTCTTCTTGTCGATGACATCTGCATCACGCGTGTGTCGCTGCGTAGCGGAACATGTCTTGCATGGGTGCATTCCTCGCGAGGCACTTTAGCTAAAGGCGTCGTTGGAGTGTATCCCAACCTTTTGATGCCGAAGGATTTTGCGGTTGGGAATGGCTTGTACTGTCTTCCGAGGACCAACACACCTCCCTGACTGGTGAGTTGAGGTGAAGTGAGGTGATGATAAGGAGTCGTTGGCCTCTTTCCTTTTTCTTTTGTCTTTATTTTTCTCCCGGATGCTCAGGGTTGTGGTGCCGGTGGTGTGTCGCAGTACGTATCTGTATTGGTAGCAAACGGCAAGAGCTTAGGTAGAGATTGCCTTGCTGTGGTTCGTACCTATTACCTTCCACTGTCCTGGCAGGGAAGGCCAACGGCGGGGAGAAATCGGTACGTGCCTTGTCGTCGGCGCATGTCGCGAAGAAAGGTGAGAGGCTCCAGCAGGCCAATGACGAGATGCAGATCATGGCGCGATAAGGCAAGGTACCTGGTCGGAAGTCCCTCGTTCCCTTTCTCCGTAGCTGCTGCCCTTGCCCTTGCTCCTGCAGTCTTGCTTCCATCTGCCCCTGCCCCGGCCCCGGTCGTGGTCCCGTTGTCCCCGCTTTGGCCCTCAGAAACTGGATCGGTACGTACCTTTATCGTAATGGTGAGGATTTGGCCCTTCGGTTCTCTTTTTTCGAGTTTTTTTCTCTTCTTTTTTGGCAGCGATTCTGTCTTTGGAGCCCCCAAGCAGCCAAGCCAAGGGCTGCCACCAAAAGTTTGTCTGACACTCACTTTTTGTCGAATCTTGAATTCGCAGCCGCAGCACGGGCCAAACATCGGCCATCCTTGCCAGTGCGCGCACATCCATCCGTCTTGGACCCCTGTGCTCGCCGTGCCTTTTGGCTTTCAAAATGCGGTTTTGCCAGTGCCCACAGGTCGCTGCCTCTCCTGGCTTGGCCAAGACAGCACACAACCTGTTCTCACTTCTCATGTGTGCGAGTTGTCTCTTTCTTGCAAGGAATACCGCTCCGAACTGGGGCACGGTATCCATAACTATGCAAGCATGCAGGAGGTCAATTAGATGGAGCAAGCGACGTGGTGCGAGGCATGTGCGGCTACCGAGTCGTATGAGGATCCATTCGTACCTGACTGGAGTCTTGGACTGTATGGGATTTTCTTGATTCTTTACAGAACGATCCGTCATCGAGATTCGAGGGAGGGATCCTAAGGTATAGACACTGACTGATTGCTGCTGTGAGGGTGAGGCAAGGAACTGCAAGAAACGGGCATGGGGGAGGAGGGTAACAGAGAATAGAATCGAAACACTCCTAGGGCGGATTCGACGGAGCTCGATGTCGGCAAGTAGAGTGCAGCATAACGTCGCAGATGGATAGTTGCTGGGAACCCAACCCAAGAGCTAGCTGCTCATACTTTCGAGTGGACGCCATGGTGCGTACGGCGTGGTAGCTACATAGAAAAGATGGACGAGTCGAAACACGGGCTTTGGTTGGGTTTGTGTCAATCGTAGGTGGCTGTCACACCCTTTGCTGGCTCTGCATTGCACGTCCCCGTTGAGCTGAGCTAGCTTACATGCCTCGACCTGTCAGTTTTCGGCCAACTGCCCTAGGCTTTGAAGATAATGGCATGTCATCGTAGCTGAACTTCAGATAGATGGTAGAGGCGTACACTACTTGGCAGCGACGACGGCCAGGCCGCCTATAGGAGGGCCTAGACGAGAAGCCACGGAGCTCTGAGACGATATAAGCTGCTAACGACGTTTGGTTGCTCGTGATGATGGGACGAGATGAGAGAGCCCAGTCCTTTGTGATGCGTATCCGTCGTAGCCTTTGCTGCATGGCGCCTGCAGGGTGAGGTTGCTCTGTTGGGTCACTGTGAGGTGTTACTAGGAAGCAAAAGTGAGCTGCGCGCGCTGTACGCAGACCCTCCGGCCATGTCGTATTACTACAGTTCCCAGATGTATCGTTTCGGCTTGATGTTGCCTTGAGAACTCGGGCAGTGGCCTTGGCAATGAATTGATACGCAGCATGTGCAATATGAGCAGTAATGCTCTGTAAGTGTTGAGGATATCTGGACGTCAAATGTGCGGCAGTGAGGACGTATCTGAGGGTACTTACAAGAAAGTATGTACGTACTGAGGAGAGTCAGGAAGGCACTGCAGGATCATGGCTTCGAACGTGCCTTGGGCCGTACTTGCGCCTCGTTGTGCGACCAGGTGCGGATGCTCCTTATCTCTACAGCAAGCTGTGCAAAAAGACGGGGAATTCCAGGCGGTGACCTGTGCGGATATCCACCAGCATCACCCCAGCTCTACGCCAGTCCCAATGCAGTGGACCCACTCAAGATAAGGTCCTCGTCTGCAATCGGGACCAATCAGGAGGATGTTGGCCGCGCCCAAAGGCACAGACGCGCATACCGTGTCTTCTGGCCTTCTGTGCACGGTACCTTGGGTCGCAAGGTGCAGGCGCCCCTCCTTCCCGGCCCTCTTCTTTTTCGCAGCATCCCTCTTCCTCCCGCCATCCCGTCTTAAGCTGCACAGTGGCCTGTGCAAAAGCGCGAGGCTAATAGCGAGCGAGGACGGATCTCTCGAATCAAAGGCGTGAGAGCGAGGGCACTTCAGGAAGAAGACGGAAAGAAGGAAAGGAAGCAGACGGGAGGAAAGAGCGAGCCCGGCCTGAGCAGCCGTAGCGCTTCGGGCTCTCTCGTCACTTTCGTTACTCGAGTCTCGTAGGAGAACATTTCCAGCTTCAGTCCAACATTGGATGGACTCCACTGCGGGCGCCGCGCCTACGCAGCATGGCCTGCGGCCTGTCTAGTCTTTTCCTTGCGTTGTGTCCCGTTGCTATTTCGTCTTCCCAAGAATACCAGACCCGGTTGCTCCTCCTTGCCCGCCGCCGCCGCCCTCCTTCCTGACCTTTCCAGGTTCCGATCCCCCTTCCAATCATCTCTATCACAAACCCACACTCCCGCACAGGTGACTATCGTAAATACACACGGGGTAGAACATGACTGAGAAAGAGCAGGAGTGGCGGCGGCAGCAGCAGCAGAAAGTGTCTTCCAATGTCAATTTGTCTGGGAATCAATCAGTCGTGCCTTCCATCCGCTCTCCACCATCCACAGCGACCCGAAACCAAAGGCGCTGCTGGACGCGAGGTGTGTGAATGTCCCACTCTTTGCGGCGCCCATCACAACCTACCTACTTCTTTCCCCCTCCCCAATTAAAAAAGCAGAAGAAAAATAAGGGAAAGAACAGAGACAAACCAAACCTCTTGGTCTCCGTCCATTTCCCAATTCGCTCACCCACACACCCTCATTCACACCAATAACCCCGTTCAGTCACCAACGCAACACCAACTAGCAAGCACCGGCAGCGAGAACACTCCACTCTCACACAGTCAGAATCCCGATCCCCAACCCCAGAAATTCCCCTCTCTCACTTGTATTCTCTCTCGCCCTCACTCTCACTCACTCTCACATACGACACACCCACCAAATCACACATACCTACGTACTTTTCGTACATACACTATTACTCACTCATCCCGACCTCACCCTCCGCGGTTTTCTGGCTCGCGCGCTAGGTACTCTCGTACTGTGCACTATTGCCTCCCCTCACTCCCAACCTTGCCTGGCTTTGCCTTGCTTGGCTTTTCAAATCCACACCCACCCACACCCACCACACCAAAAAAAGACTGAGATCCCTCGTCTTGTTCCTCCCCTCGTCTTTTAGTCCCGCCCACCCCCCGGAAGTACCTGACCTTGCCTACCTTTCGAACTTCTTCGGTCTTGTCTCTCGACCGTCTGTCCATCCAACCCTTTTTGACTTCACATCGCCTCACAATACATACTTCATCTTGCGTCCCGCCTGCGTCCCGCCTTAGCACCTTGCCTTTCTGCTAGCGACTTTTCCGACGTCTATTTCGACTTCCCGACAACGAAATCCGCGAACCAACCTCCTCCCTCGCACTACAACGACCCAACTTCTCGTCCAAGCCTTCGCTGTGTCACTGTGGGCTCGTTACGATCCAGACATCTTTCCTCGACTTCATTCCCAGTCACCCAACCCGAATCTACGCCTACACTACACAATCGAACCGCTCCTACCATGATGGCAATCTAAAGCCTGAACCGTCGTTGCGATCTTTTTCCTCGGCCGCCGTGCGAGCCTCGTTCTTCGTTCTCCCACGCCCCTCATTATGTCGAGTCGCCGATTGAGAATTTCACGACCAGTCGAACCTGAGCGCTTCCACGAATACTATGGACTCACAACAGCCTCTTCCTCACCAGAGGAACTCTCACAACCCTCATCTGCTGGCCCTTGTGCCGCCCACCTCCAATACCCTACCCTTGAGGTCTTCCGCTAGCACGCCAATGACCTCTCCGGGACTTTTCAGTCCCTCAAACCCGCGTCCGAAAATGAACTTTCCGATCCATGCCTCGTCCGACTCAAACACTCCGAACGTCGAGACGAGCAGTCCCTACCTTCACCCACTCCAGAACCACAAAGTCAGAGAGTGAGTACAACTTTTTTGGTCCTTGCTATGCCATGTTGTGGCCGCGCCTTCTTTCAAATAAAGCCTTTGTGTGAATCGACGGTTCTCTATCGGTGAGGCCGTATCGTGACTACGTAATTGACAGCGGGGGCCAGCCGCGGGCCCCGCGACAAGGGGATGACTATCTGATAAGCTAACCATGTTGGTGACCAGGACACATAAAGCCTTGATTGACTCCGACAGCATTACCGGCCGCAAGCTCATCAATCAGTATGAAGTCATCGAAGAAATTGGCAGAGGTGTGCACGGAAAGGTCAAGCTTGCCCGAAATCTCGAGACGGGCGAAAATGTGGCTATCAAGATCATTCCACGGTACTCTAAGAGACGCCGACTCGGCAAGGTCATGGCTATGTCCCCGCAGGAAAAGACGATGAGAGAGATCGCCATCCTCAAGAAGATGAGGCATCCCAACGTCGTCTCGCTGCTGGAGATTATCGACGATCCGGAATTGAAAAAAATCTACCTAATTCTCGAACACGTGGAGCTAGGCGAGGTTGTCTGGAGGAAAAAGGGATTACCACACATCTGCCACCATGAGCGTCGTCGCATCGAGAGAGAATCCAGAGGTCAGCCGTTGACCCCAGAGGAGGAGCACTACGAAAAGATAATGGAGGAGAGGTACAAGATCCGGGAGCAAAAGCGGGAAAAGATGTCTCGAGCCAACATGAACACACATGAGTTTTGGAGTATCGAGCACGGCATTTCTGACGACGCGAGTTGTGGATCGCAATCCCGCGTTCCCTCAAGGGACGACCTAGGAGTTTTGGACTTTTTCGGAGGCGAAGGGTCACAACCCAATTCGCTGCAGGCATCCCGGGCAACATCTCGAGCGCCATCGCGGTCTCAGTCTGTGAAGTCAATTCGCGACACTGTTTTTGACCAGGAAGCCATCGACGACACCGAGGACATTGAGACGCCAGGCCCGCTACAGACCAGCAACCCAGGCTCAGCTACCGCACTCGATGGTACCATGTATGGCGCCTACATGGAAGACGCGGCCTTTCGAGGTCGTTCACCCAGCATGGCCGATTCTATCATTTCGCACATGTCCTCGGTCGACTGGAACACTCGGATGCACGACCCTTTCGCTGAAGACTTTTCCTACGTTCCTTGCTTTACCATCGACCAGGCAAGAACGACTTTCCGAGACACTGTCTTAGGCCTGGAGTACCTGCATTACCAAGGTGTCGTACACAGGGATATCAAGCCTGCCAATTTACTATGGACCAAAGACCACCGCGTCAAGATCTCCGACTTTGGTGTTTCGTACTTTGGCCGTCCCATCCGAGAAGGCGAGGCCGACGATGAGACGGTCTCAGAATCCGAAGCACAAGATTTCGACGATGATCTTGAGTTGGCCAAGACAGTTGGCACCCCGGCATTCTTCGCACCTGAACTGTGCTACACCGACGCGGACCGCATGGAACAACCGAAAATTTCCGAAATGATCGATATTTGGTCACTTGGCGTAACGCTCTACTGCCTCATCTACGGACGTATTCCTTTCCAGGCCGAAGATGAATGGCAGATGTTTCGAAAAATTGCCACTGAGGATGTCTTCATCCCCCAAAAACGCCTCAGGGCAGTGGACCCTTCTACCCCTCCCAACTCTGAATCTCTCTTCAAGCGGCATAACGGACCTCCCTACAGGGACGACAACGAACTTGCCTACGAGAACATCGACCCGATCTTGCAGGACCTTTTGCGAAACATGTTTACCAAAAACCCGGACAAGCGAATTCGTCTGAAGGATATCAAGACCCATGCCTGGGTTGCAAAAGGAATTCCAGATGTGGAAGCGTGGTTGGCTGAGACTGACCCAGCCAAGACTTCGGGCAGGCGAGTCCAGGTCAACGACAAAGAGGCAGCCCGCGCTGTCGTGCCTATTGCCTTCTTGGAACGCGCACGATCTACCGTGAAAAAGGCAGTCGGAAAGTTGATGCACCCTTTAGGGGATCGAAGCGATAGCCGGTCAAGGCGGAGAGCTGCCAGCAGTGCTGCCAGCTCGGCTGGAGACAGCATGTTCAATGTACCGCCCACGCCACACTCGAGAGAAGCACGCAGAAAGAGTCTCAAGAGCGAAGACTATTTTTCCAACGTCAAAGACTTTGCCTTTGGCGGCTCCGACCATCCTCTTGTCCACAGCGAGACAGTTTCTCCGTATGAATCCCCCTACGACCCTCTCGCTACGGCTATCGCTCAACCCGTCAAGGGCCAAGGAGCTGCCCTTTTACATGCCATTCAGAATAGCTACAGTGACTCGAGGACGAATAGTGGCACGGCATCGCCTTCAGATCAGTCAACAATCCCTGGGACAGCGTCGTTTTACAAGCCTTTTCAGAGATACTCGCAAAGCCCATCGAATGGCAATAGCTTTTTGACGCTTACAGCTGGATTACCCGAGGTCAGGACACAACCTCCTACCCCTTTTTCCGGTGACTCCACACTGGACGATCCGTCCAAGGAAATGCGGCAAACACGTGGATACGATGCCTTGACAGAGGAAGCTCTCCGTGCACGCTCAGCCGAGCGTGGCGTGTTCAGAGACCAAGATAAGCGCGCCCCCGCACAAGTGAGCGTCACCACGGCGAGTGTACCCGGTACCCTCCATAGGATGCCTAGCCTTCCCGGCAAGCCTCGAGCTATGCGATCGGTGGACTTGGGTAAGGCGAAGCAGGCTACCAGCGCCCTAGCTTCGCCACTGTTCTTTTCCTCTCGGTCTGTCACCGGCTACCAGCATGGCCAGCCACAATCGGACTCAAACATCTATGAGAACCAGCGCCTCACGGCCGACCTAGAGGAGAGACCGCAGACAGCACACAGGATTGAAAATGTGCGGGATATACCGGAGGCAAGAACGCCACCACCGCGCACATATAATACGTCAACTCCTGAGTCGTTCGCCCGCGCAAAATGCGAGATGCAGCGCAAGCAAATCGCAGAAAGTGTTATTCAACAAGCTGCGGACGACGTCAGGTCAGACATTGCCGTGATCGATCCAACCGAAGTACCTTGCCCTCTCTCGCCCGATGACGAGCGATTTGGCACGCCGCCACCTCCATCTCGTGAGGACACGATGGAGACCGAAAAGTCCTCCCGTTCGACATCCATCGGTGGCTTGGCTTCTCCTATAACGAATCCCAGCGAAGTAGCCAGTCCCGTCTCGTCTGTCAACCACCACACGAAAGAGGAGATGCTCGCCTTCCAATCTGATCCTTCGCTCCCCGCTCTTCTCAGCGGTGCCAGCTCGGTATCCGATGCTGAGCCCGTGGAGCCTGCTGTTGTCAATAAGCCTGGTTTGCTCGAAACGACAGATTCCCTGACACCTCCAGCATACCTTAAGGAGCCCATGGCTGGATTTCCATTGGAACAATTCGAGCAACAGGGACGATTCGAGACACACAATGCGTCATTTAATGCCGGCCCGATCCCGCTTCGCATCACACGCAGCCCAGTCTACAGAAGCCCGCCGCCCATTCATCACAGTCCCGATATGCGTCCACAAGAGGACGATGATGACGACAGTGATAGTGACGAGGGCCTTTTGATGGCGAAGACCAAGAAGAAATCCTCAACCAATACTCACGTCGAACGAATACCTTTCGGTGCAAGGCGACGTGACACAAATGCGAGCATTGCTAGTACAGAGACAGCCAAGAAAGTTGCCATTGGCGAAGAGGTCATCACCTGCGCCGACTGACTTTAGCGTGCTCAGCATTCGAGTACCTGCTTAGCTCGCGGTACATTACTATAAGCACCCAACTTGACTCATACTTTTTCCAACCTGTACAATGGATTCGGGGTGGTCTTTTTTGGCACAGCATTTATACACAGTCAGTGGACTTTTCAGGTTTTCTGCCTGCGTGTTCAACTGCTTGAACACAATCCATTTTCTTGCTTGAAGCATATCCCAAGAACAGCATGCAATCAGATTGCACATTTCCCGCTGGCACATATGTGCTGCCAGTTTCGATTCGAGCGCGCTTCCTTTCCATATAGAGAAGGACTGCAATGGTGGCAGTCTTTTGCTTTGACGCTTTCCTCTCTTTCAGATGCCACTGTGGTTGGCGGATGAATTATCAGAGCAGACTGGGACGACGACATGTGGCCACGAATGGAGGAGAAATGACGGAGGGGACTACGAAAGGAGGCAGGTTGGGGGAAATCGGCCATCAGGGGAGGGTTTTGGGTTATGGGACAGAGGAGGATGCATCGACGATTAGACTCTTCCCCCATGCTTTTCATTTGTCTGCAGTGGAAGGTGAGGGCAGCGGGGCAAGTCAGACTTGGATAGGGGTCTATAGTCATGCCTGTTCATCATTTCCACACCCCATGAAGTTTGAACAGATTTTTTTTTCTTTATCTAGCATCGGCAGCGAGGTTTCGGGAGGGGGTTGTGTTTCTAATAGCGGAGGCGGGAGGTTGATCATCTGGGATCGGGTCTATCGCCCAGATGGTAACGGCGCTTCTTGTTTCTCGGCGCCTTTTGTTTGTGGAGGAAATCTTGCATGTACACATCCCAAATCCGACCACAGATCGCGAAAGAGAAGCGATGGGAAGACTCGTCTATGAGTGAATAGAAGCGATGAACACATTTTCTCCATTTCCTCACATTATAAAACACAAGTGGCTCTGTATTGGAGACTGTCCCTGTGATCTCTTGTGCGTGTTCGTTTGCGCCTAGGTATCCTTGTTCCTGACGAGCTGCGTCGAAAATGTCATCGATAGTTGAAGCAGTCCATGTAAGACTACTCTATTGTGACAGCATTCATCATTACCCGAGAATCAGGATAAGTTGTAGCAAAAGCCAGCATGACAAAAATCTTCTTACGGGTGTCCAAAACCCAGACCGTCAGTAACCTGTATGAGACTTGTCTGACGGTAGCTCCCTAATTGCCACTCATACTACTGCAATCCACGTCACTAAACGAACAACCCGCGTCAAAATCCTTCAAACTAATGGGGAATCTGGTATTTGTGTCTAGCGAGTCTACCCCATAAGCGTAGAAAAAAAGGGAGACACAAGCTTATGAAGATGACAGTAATTACGCGATACAAACAGAGTAGCTCGATCTTCTTTTCCTCAATGTGTTCGTCGCTCTCTCTCCACCGACACCCCACCACCACTATCACAGCCTGGACTAACTCCCCAAGACAACAAACTTGAGGCGAACCACGAGTAGTAAGTCCCTTCAAGTCCACAATTAGAAACACGCCTTCCCTTCAGACAGCCGAGTAACCTCCTTCCACAGCAACCCAACCCTTGGAAGTAGCAGGGCCACCTACGCAGTGTCAGCATTAGGCGCCCCCATGACGCCGCGACCAAACCACTCCGCCACCGTCGCGAACCGATCCTCGCTGCGCTCCAACTCGGCCTTGAACAGCTCATGCTTCCCCGCCGTCTCAATCTGCGTCTTGCGCAGCGCGCGGATCGTCGCGTTATCATTGGCGCACTGCGGACACTCGCCCTCGGTGCGGAGGCACCGCTGGTGGAAGCTGTGCTTGCAGAGGAAGTGCACCGCCGGAAGATCGAGGGGCGCCGTGCAGACGGCGCAGCGCGTCGACTGGAACACGGCCGGCTTGGAGCCGAGGTCGGCGAGCTCGGCTCGCTTCTGTTCCGTCTCGCTGCGGAAGGCCGAGATGCGGCGCCGGTTGGCGGCAATCTCCTTGCGCTCGCGCTCAATCGTCTCGTGGAGGTAAGGCTTGATCATTCCCATTGTCGCGACGCCGCCCGAGGAGCCGGACTGGCCGACTAGCGTCTGAATGACCTGCAACGGCGCCATGAGACCGTCCTTGTCAATTTTGTTGAGCACGGCAGAAAGCTCTTCTGATCCGGCTTCCCGAAGAATTCGGGGGTCGGAAGTCAGATATGCCAGTGCTGCCGGGTACAGTTGCGGTTCTTCGGGGCCATACTTTCGAAGGGCTTTGATGGCTCCGCGGGTATCTTTGGCTGAGGTGTACGATCGGAAAATGTCAAAGAGTAAACCGGACTGCTCCTTGACCAAGGTTGTGCCGTCCTTGAAATCAGAAAGGTGCGAAAGCAACAGGACATTGGAACTCTCCATCGGAATGTCTTCTCCTTCGATGAGCTTCTTCGCCTTGTTCTCCCACTCTTCCCGATGCTGCTCCCCTTTCTTCTCATTTGACTTGTGTAGGTACATCTCAAAGAGTGTGGTGTACAGGTCTGTCCTGTCGCTTTCCTTAAGACCTGTGTCTTCTAGGCATGCCTCCAGGAAAACAATGAACTCGTCTGGGTGGTCGATGAAGGATGAGAAAGCAGTCCTTGGAGGCGGTGGGGTGTATTTCGGCGCAGGAATGTCGTCGGGATTCAAGATGATCTGAGCATCGCCGTTGATGGCTGTTCCATTGCCCGGTGTGGATGGGCTTTGGAGAGAGGATGTGTTCATGTATGGCAGAGGTAAAAAGTTGGAAAGGTTCTGGACGGCACTTGCTGCACCGGCCACCATACCGCCAGCTACGACAGCCTCTCCATTGTCCTCAATCGGTACAAAGTGTAGCCTCGGACGGTACTTGCCAGTGTAGTAGTCCACGAAGACCGTGGTCGCATCCTTTGGACAGTTCTCGATCAGAACTCTGGCATACTTCTTGAGGCAAGGGAATGCCTAATGAATTGTCAGAATTGGCCAAAATACTGGAGAGGTATGAAACTCACCACTTCTGGGTCTTGATGCCATATAAAATCAAGAGCCTCGTTGTACAACTTGGAGTCTTCTATCAGGATGTCCACGACCAGTTCAATTTCGCCGTGCTTCTTGGCCAGATATGCAGCTTGCTCGTAGTAGCCTCCTTGCCTACACATAGTAATTGCAGTCTCGAGGTCAAACTTCAAGTCACCGGGCGATTTGATAAATGCCTCCAATTTGTCGATATCTTTGAGCTTTGCATAGCAGTTCAGAAGTAATGTTGTGTGGTCAGACGTTGCCTTGCGATGCTCATGTAACTGCTCGAGATACTGTATCAGGTTGTGTATTCTTTGTGTATCGAGGAACTGTGATTGTTAGTCTACCTGCGCTCTATTCCTGCCGGATGTGGAAGCTTACCTTTCTGATGACCTGTGATGGTTCAGTGGTATCGATCGCCTTGATGTATTGGACCATGGCACCGTCGTAATCAGCTTTTTGATAGAGATGGTCGCCAAAGCGTCGGAAGATGCCGCTCTGCTGTGTCGCATCCAGCCGTGACTTTTGTGCCAGTTCAATAGCCAAGGGGTACATGTTGCGCTGGTACAGCATTTCGAGGCGCTGTTGCAGTGACTTTTCGTGGTATCGGTTTACCTTGCCATCTTGTGTGAGAACGAACAGATCGCCCCAGATTTGGAAGATGGCTTTGAATGGCGAGATCAGAGATTGTGTGTGACCGAGCACTCTAAGGTCTGGCTCGAGAAGAACGAATGTTGATGCGTTGAAGAGCGCATCCGCTGCTCCACCTCCACCTCCAAAGCGGCGGCGCATAGTGTCGTTGCCTTTGTCGGTGGTGGAAGCCGATGGTGGGCATACCAGTGCAACGTAATCCTGGTAGATCGAAACTAGTCTTTTCGGCGATTCGTACGCACGTGGCGCTCCTCTTCCTTCCAAGGTGTAGGTATAGATGGCATCCTCTCGGGCGACTACCACGTCTCCTGTCTTCTTATCAACCGTCATACAGTCAACGTGACATCCCATGTCTTCCACAGTCTTGGGTGGGGAGCTGTGGCCCCTTCTCGAAATCCCAAGCTTCAGAATTCGGGCTGTTGTTGAGATGAATAGGGTTGTGACGTCTTGGGAATCCGTCATGAGCTCCACGCCTGTGATAGGTTCTTCCGAGTCGTGCACCGTCCTTTGTTTCGCCCCCAGGTCGTTGATCAAATCGCCTCGGATCAGAGTCACCGTGCCGTTCGCGAATCCGACTGCTACTTGGGTAAGGTTGTCGAGAACATCGATAGCCGAGATCTAGATGATAAGTAATTAGTTGATGCTTTGGTAGAATGCGATCGATTCTTCCCTTACCGGAAACTGCTTCCTGCCATTGTTGATTTGCAAAGTGCTTAAACAAGTCGGCATATTGGTCTTCTTCACCAGCTTGTCCAGAGCCCAGATCTTCAACACCGGCTCACTGCTGAGGTCTTCCTACTCAGATATCAGTTCCCGTTCTCGTCATCTCAAGGTTGTTGCGTTCACCTACAGCGACCGTAACAAGCAGGCTTGTCCCCTCGATCTGGCGCATGTGTGTGATCGTCCCGAGCTCGTGAGCCTGGAAGCTCTTCACCACCTTCCAACTCGATCCGACAATTCGAACGTATCCATCGTAGCTACCGAGGAATAGACTGTCGGAGCCGGAGCAAACACTAGCGATCTCGTTGCTCTCGAAGAAGACTCGGGTCTCCTCATCGGCGAGCCGGACCTGGCTGACGTCGAAGAAGTCGAATGCCTTCCACTTCGAAGCAAGTGGTTAGCGAACGTCTGGTCGCAGAGAGCAGTTTGAGGGGGAATTCGCAAACGAACCTGAAAGGCCATGGCTACATCTCCTAGCGACAGCAAGTTGTGAGAAAGGCAAGGTCGGCGAGCGTGAGCGCAACAGCGGTTGTTGATTGACGTCGGTGCCTCGCGCTCCAATGACGCTGCTGTGGGGAGCTTTGGTAGCTGTCGCTGTCGCTGCCGCTGGTCTCCGAGCGTGACCCACCCGCCTGTGGCAACCCCAACCTGCAGGACCAAAGCTTCCCGACTACCTATGGCATGCGCCACAAGAAATAAGCCGTTCTTGCATGCACCAGCCACACTTCCAACCCTACCATTAATCAGGTCTTGCTCATGTCAATGAGGCATGTTAGATATCTTGAGTGAGTTTTCGCATCATATATCCAAGCTGAGAGTTTCGCGTCGATTGTGACTCTGAATGCTCAAATGAACTGTGTTTATGTCACGTTATGAGTGATATCCAGCGCCATTTTGTAATCCAAATTCAATGCCAAATAGCAGAGTTCACCATTCAACGCTCTTTAAAAAAAGATGAGGTGCCTAGTGCCTAGGAGCTCAAATCTTAAGTCGTGGGAATGCGATATAGTTTACGAACACTTCTCTAACCAAACAAGCTTGAACTACTGGAGGTGTGTAGTTTTTGGCATTGGCAAAACACCAAATTGACACCAAGCTGACCCCTCAATAGTTTGTATTTGACCGACAGCGTCTGCTTACAGGGCAGACAAGCTATTTCTAGACCTCATCGACGGTTCCGTAATATCTCAGGCTCTTGTTGGGGCCTGGTGCTTCACTCGGACCCTCATGTTGTCAACCGGCCGGGCAGTAATTTGTCTCGTCTACGACATGTTAGTGAGGTGTGCATCTTGGATGAGGCTCCCAATGGGATTATCCTAATGGAAGGCTTACGTTGTAAAGTTGTGTGTTGGACCTGTATTGCCCCTTTTCGTTGATGATGGGACGGTCTTTCTCGTCCAGCGTAGCCTCCCCTAGACCGACCTTTTCAAAGACATACTTGCCCACCACACTAGCCAAAATCACCCTGGCCTCGATGTTGGCAAGCTCCTGTCCGATACAGTTCCTAGGACCCCTTTCAAAAGGTCTCCAGGCGGCGGCAGGAATCTCGTTCTCGCCAGCTTTGCCGATGCCCATCTTCTCATCGTCATTCGTCGCCATCGACGTGTCCGTATTCCCGAGCCATCGCTCGGGTACAAAATCGTCTTTGGTGCTTCCGTAGACGTCAGGGTCTCGCTGGATGAGAGTGGCACAGTTGTACAGAACCATCCCATCGACGCAGAGGCTGCTGTTGTCTGGTAATTGCAAGTGAAAGTTCGCGCCCGGGGGGCAAAGGCGCGCAGTCCCAGCTGGTGGGTACAGGCGCAGAATCTCCTTGATGACTGCCGAGGTATAGGTCATCTTCTGGGTAATCTCCTCACCCCTGGCGAGTAGAGCTTCCCGGACGACTTCGGGGCTCAAGTCCTGGCCGAAGAGACCCTCTAGTTCAGTCCGAAGGCTCTTCATTGCCCGAGGCGTCCTTGATAACTCGTAAAAGGCCCATTGGAGGAGGATGCTGGTGGTGTCATGCCCTGCGAACATGAAAGTTTTGAGTTGATCCTTTGTCCCGTCGATGATATCCTGTGTCAAGACCTGTGTGTCTTTCAAGCTGAGAGCCAGAATACTCCGGCTCGATGACCCCTTGTCCTGCTTCACATCGTTGAATTTGCGACGAATGACATCCTCGAGGAAGACATTGCAAGACTTGGCAAGTCGCCTTCGTTTCCTGCCCAGCTGTGGGTTCTCCCACCACTTCAGTATACCACTGCCCTCCCTGTATGAGGTTAAGAACTCCTTGTAGCCCTTGATGAACTCTATCTGTTGGTCTTCGGGAAGCTGTGCGTTAAGATCAACATCCATCGTCACGGCACCTGTTTGTCAGTTATTAGTGAGATGCGGCTCTAAATACAGAAAATTGATGAGACTTACCAATGATATCGAAAGTAAGGTTAGTGCACAACGGCTCCAGCTCAAATTCTTCACCCGTCCCCACGAGTTCGTCGAGCTTGGCGAGGAAGGTCTGAGTCTTTTCCAAGATTACTGGCATCAGACTCATGAGGTGCTGAGGAGCGAAGCCAGGGTTGAAATGCTTTCTCATGTCTTTCCATCCGGAGCCCTGCGACAAGAGTTCAAATTAAATCATATTCTGACTGATAATTTTCGCGTCCATGTTCTGTAGAAAGAGAACGAACGTGAAACATGCGAAGGAACTCCTTACTTGAGACATTACGATTGACTTCTCGCCCAGCAGCGGTGTGAGATACATCATGGTGTCGGACTTCGGTGCGCTGTAGGGCCACATCTTTGATTGTCTCGATACCTGCTCCGCGATCTCATGGCTTCGAATAACCAGCAGGGGCCGGCTGACTGGACGAAGGTCTAGAAGCATGATGGGAGGATTGCCGATCTCCTCGAGCATATCTCCCATGGTGGGATCTGCGAAATCTAATATTAGCCCACAACACCACATACCTTCCGTCGCTAATACGTACCGAGTTGAGAGTCCTTCTCATTGCGCTTCACGTGGTGTTCATTTATGGCCTTGAGGTGACCCCATACTATTGAAGGCTTCAGCTGAGGAAAGTTGGCGTATTGCTTCAACCGGCGATAACTGAGGGCAGAGTACAGGTACAACAGAAGCGCCGGTAGCGCCAAAAGCGCCACTGACAAAGGACTTAACATGATGAGATATCGCTCTCGACTCCCAAGCAAATCTCTGCCAGAAAGTCAAGTCAAGTTCGGATGCAGGCCCCCAAAGGTAGCCGAAAGCTGGTAACTGGGTGTGGTCATGGATATAAAGGGCGGTGGTTCCCATACCAGCCTGCATCGGATGTGTAGATTCCGTTTCAGCAGGAGCATGGATGAGCAGTCCACCCTTTCAGTCTGGAACCCAGTGGCCGCCAGCGCGACCAGCGCTATGATGCCTCGACTTACCAGTAGCCTGTAGGAGCGCGCCGATTCGTTTGCTCGCTTGCCTCCAGGACGTACTTGGCTAGGTTAAGACACAAACATTGGGAACAGGTGGTCCACATCCGATTTTCAGCTCCCCCATGATGCCTACTTCTTTGTTGTTCTTTCATTGGTTTGCGATTGTGAGTTCGAGGTTGTCCGCCCCAAATGAGTGAAGAATGTAGCCAATCTCATGTCTCAGTGGCTCGCGTGGATTGGCACATTGCGGGAAGGTTGTCCAGCCGAAGCCAAGAACTCCAGTCAGAACCTAGAATAGCGGGAAGATGCCGGATGGATAATTGCTCCTTCCCGGTACTTGGAGGCGTTGATCGTAAAACTCCTCGGTTCTGGTTGGCTACATCCCTTGTATCCATGTGTTTGCGGCACGTTAGGGTGACATCACCCCGGTTCAGATGTGCAGGAGTAGCGGGGGCAGCCCGCTATGATCTCCGCATTTCTCACACTCAAATAGTGCCGTTTTTCCTGGGTTTCGGTAGTAGGAGCTTTTCCGAATGTCACGAATACGAACCATCGAAAATGTGAGACTTAGGCTGGTCAACCGTCACATCGGAGACTTCATCTTTTCAAGATGAGCGATCCCTGTCGCCCATTACATCTTGAAGTGTAGAGAAGGATTAGCGTAATTAGCGTCCCTTCATGTGTAGACCTTGACCTATCTCACAGATTAAGCTCATCTTTGAGCGCTAGACATCTGTTCTTCTGAAATTTAGATAAAGTTCGTTTTTCTCTCGTCCACAACCGAGGCACAGTCACCTCTCGATGGACCACAAACTTCAATCTTATTTACAAAACAAGACTTTCACCCTCAGCTGTGTCACCAGAAAAATGAAGGACTGAGACTATACCACAGTTCTTATTCACCGTCTCTCAAGTATTCACACTTACAACTCCAAGTCGCTTAGTAGCTAGACGGCACGATTCCAAGTCTTCCGCCGTCTGTTACGAGCACATTGCCGTTGGTGTAAGCGCCTGCCCTGCTAACCAAGAATAACACAGCGCCAGCCATGTCTTCTACGTCTCCCGCCCTCTCTTCAGGAATGGTAGTCTTGGGCCAACCCTCCTTGTGGGCCTCGACCGTTGCTGTTGTCATCTCGCTCGGGTAGACTGAAGATTGAGATTAGTAGATGATTGAAGATCTCGCCCCATGGACTCCGAGCCAACATGAGTGCCCTACGTGGCGTCGGAAGGAAGTAGACTTACATCCAGGTGCAATTACGTTGGCGCGGATGTTGAATGGAACCAGTGTGGTGCTCCTTGATAGATGTTAGTCTAGAAGCCGGCTCTTGCAACTCGTTCAGGACTGCTCACAATTGCTTGAACATGTGCACCACAGCTGCCTTTGAGGCTCCATAAGCAAAGCCCATAGGGTTGCGGTTGTACGCGCCAATGCTGCTAGTCGCGATGACTTGGCTCCTTTGCTTGAAGTTGCTGCGCTTGTTACCCTCATCAAGAAGTTCCAGGAATGCTGCGACCGTGAAAAACACGCCGGTAGCGTTCACGGCAAAGGTCTCCGTGAAGTCCTTCTGCTCCCAGCCGAAGACAAAGTCGCGGTACTGAGCAATGGTCGGGTTAGGGGGCAAGCCCTTGAGAGCCGGTCCGCCGATGCCTGAGTTGGCGATGACGATGTTGACGTATCCGTGAGCCTCCGTGATCTCTGCGACCGCTCGCTCGAGGTCGCTCTTTGAGGTGATGTCACCTTGGATAGTGCGAATGTTGCCATTTTTCTATTCGCAGTTGGGGCGCCAACATCAGTCGTAATACCTCTCGACCATAAAGGCCATGCATAAACGGTATGGGCGATAGACTCTACTGGGCCAAGCGCTCTCGCAGAAACTTACAGCTGTCTTTGCCGCCTGTTCCAATGCTTCTTTCCGTCGGCCGATGATGTATACAATAGCCCCGTTCGCCTCGAGGCCTTGTGCAATCATGAGACCGATGCCTAAGTCGAATCGTAAGCAAATACTGGAGGGTTGCTACTGCGGTTGATGAATGACGTACCAGTTCCCCCACCCGTAACTACGGCGATGAGACCCTTGACGCCGAAGAGGTCGGCAGCGTTGAGGTTTGGAGAAGACATCTTGGAACACAAAGATTAAAAGCCGTTTCCCCTTAAACTGATGTGTGTGAGTTAGTTACTGGGCATAGAGTTATTGGGTTGAGAGCAATGATCTAAATGTCCAAATAGTGTAGCTCGGTGGTTTAAGTAATTAATGGTGTCCGGCGGGGTTCGGTAGAATGGCCCGCACGACCTATGGCGACATTCTGCACCAAGTCCGTTATCCATCACAATGATCAGTTGCGAGTGGCTGCTGACTGCATGCAGTCTGATCCCCGGTGTTCGGATGTTGCGCGGTCCTGATTAGTGGACAGCTACTTACTGGGCTTACATTAGGCTTTTGCAGGTCGGGGAAACGGCAAGCTATGCTTTCAGTCCTTCTACGTGCATTTCCCGGCATACCTTATTAATCTCAAGGCATCGGACCATTCACGTAGGTTTTACAAGATAATAAGGCAAATGTACAAGCGTGGCGCCCATAGAATGGGTGGCAGTCTATGCTGACAAGTCGCACAACTTTCTTTAGACCACCTCTGAGGTGCTGATTTGGGTAATTCTACTTAACTTCAACACGGACGTCCGTAAATGATACCTCCACTTACAATTTAATTTACCTTTGGTCCCCAAGCTCGAAGTGAATCAACATGTCCCAGCAATACTCAACTGATTGAACACAAACAACCTTGCCATCGACTAGCTCTATTTCTTCTCAAGAATAAGAGTTCATACAGACTTCTACAAGCACTCATCAGGGCTTTTCAACCAACCGTCTAATCGTGTTCCATATCTTGGCACGAACTTGGCCTGAAAACCTTTCGGTTTGGCAACAAACGAGAGGCCATCAAGTCCTTTAATCGGATCGATCTCCACAGAATCCTCACCGTCTGCAGGCAAGATCTTGAACCGGGCGATCAAGTGCAAAAAGGCTGTGTACAAGGCACTGTGTGCAAGGTGAGACGCTACACACATTCTTCCCCCCATACCGAAGGCGAATTGATGCGCGTATTGATCCGGTGCATCTGGAAGCCAACGCTCAGGGGCGAATACTCCAGGCTCCTTGAATAGATCAGGGTCTGGCTTGGCGGTCAGTCAAATATGACACTTCACCTGAGTTGCGGCAAAGTCACCTCTGTTGCAGGACCAGCTGTTCAAGAAAACCAGAGTGTTGGCCGGAATCGTGGCGGATTCCCAGGTGGCATCAGCGTATGTCGCCTTTGGTAGCGCGAGCCTCAAGACGACAAAGTATCTCGAGATCTCTTTCGTCAGTGCATCTATGTAGTCAATCTTTGTAGAAGCAAATGTGTTGGATGATTGCTGTAGAACACCAGCATCTTGGATGGCGGCATATGCTTTGTCTTGAATATCAGGGCGGTGCGCAAGCAGAAGAATAGCCCAAGCCAAGGTAGGCTGGTTCGAGTCGGCGCCCTGGAACATGTCAGGACAAGTTTGACATGAGCTTCCGGTTTGATTATAGGATGAACTTACTGCCATCATACTAAGGCTCACACTGATTAACTCCTCTCGCGTAAGGGTTGCCGCCTCAGGATCTTTCAAAACAGCACCTTGAATGCAGGGCTTGTCTTTACCCAGACCAATCTCGTCCTTTAATCGGCTAAGTAGTACGTCGTTGTATTCCAATCTTCGACGGCCAATGTCCCCAGCATGATTCTTCGGTGTGGACTGTAAGCCTAACACACTAGCAATCGGCTCCCAGTATCGCAGCAAGGGTATGTAGTTAGTGTAGTTCTTTCCTGTGTCGCGAAGTTTTGAGATCTCAGATTCGACATAAATGATCTCGGAAAATAGAGGATCATCCTCCAGGGACTTGACATTGGAGGCTCTTGTCCCATAGTTGAGCGTTAGGCTGAGATTGAGGGCAAAGCGCCTGACAGCCGGACGGAAGTCGAGATCCACCGAACCACGACAGCATTCTTCGTATAGATCTTTGAGAAACTCTCGTGCCTCCATATTTAAAATAGGTGCGTAGCTTTCTACCCGCGGACGATTCAATGCCCCGGCTGCGAGCTTGCGGCGACGTTTACAGGAGTCGTCCCACGGGCTGGTACCGATACTTGTAACGGCTTTGCTGACCTTTCCATGGAAGACATAGAAGGTTGGTCGAGAATTCATCGCATGGCGTTGTCCGAGAAATAACTGTTTGGCAGACTCTACAGTGTTGACGACAACAGCCGTGGTATTTCCTAGCTGTATCTGAAACACGGGCCCATACTTCTTTGCCCAGACTCGGTATGTTTCTGCTGGTATTTGGTTTTGGTTCTGGGATGTGTTAGTCTCTTTCTCCACGAACGAGTACTCATGGTATATAGGTGTTCAGTTACCTGGAAAAGGTTGCCAACCACAGGCCAACCAAGCGGACCCGGAAGATGTTTGATTCTACCTTGATACCTCTTTATTTCGTTTTGTAGTAAATAGCCGGCAAGGATAAGAACAGATAGAGTTATAGCTTGTCCTAAAAGATTTCTGATGTTCAATTGGGAGAATGGGTTTGTCACGGTCATTGTGCTTGAATGTTACGTCTAACGTAGGAAATCATGCACAATACGCACGAGCTCTGCTTCAGATTTGAGTTGAACGAATGTAAGTTATCTACAGAACAACACCTGAGGACCTTCTTCTCTAGTCTACAGCAAAAGAAGATTAATCATCGACCCCGCCATGTCGCAATATTCAAATCTCAGAGGTCTTCTGCACTCATGCAGTAAGACTTGATTAAGAGGATTACGATTGGCTCTGTGTGCTGCTACACGCGCCAAGATGGATTCAGAGTACCCGAACTCCGTGAACCTTGCTTCAGCGTAGTCTTGATTGCAAAGGTGTATGTGATGTACGAGCCGGAAGGAATTCTGTGTGCCAGTTTTCCAAAGAAAGCAGCCAATGATGAGAGAAAGAACGTAATCACGTCAAATCTTCCATTCTCGATTACATTGGTAAAGATGACGCCATTGCCCAGCTGAATGACGGATTTTAAGGCCTTCGACAAATATCCCAACAACGCCGCGGGGACTGACCTACGTTCAATGGCTGCTTAGAGATGCAAATGGCCGCTTTAATTCGAGCAACTTAACCAGATCTGGTCTCAAAGCTTCATGCCTCTTTCAAGACTCTATTTCTCTTGGAGTATTTACCTGGCTCCCAAAGGCACTAAGTCTCATATCTCCAATGTTGGAATCCTTCTGAGGAAATCTTCCAGTCAAGGCGATGCAAGATTGAGTCTGCAACATACTCCAACCAGCTTATATTTGTATTCCCCTTGGCGTAGCTTTTTTGTTGGCTAATACTCACTCTAGCCTTTTATATCTTGAAGATGTGTTGATAGAGTAGGCCGGCCAGAGAAACGACTAAAGGTGACAAACATACCAGCATCGCGTTGCAATGATAAGAGCGTGTATGTCCATATCCAAAGTAGCGAGGTGGCATCCGCCAGGCCGGATCGCCTGCCATTGACAATTAGAGAATTGCACACACAACTTATTCAGTTGGCTATTAGCTAAGGTGATGATGGACATAAAGCATGGTTTAGTCAGCCAGAGCTGCCTCCGTCAGCATGGTCAGCAGGTTGCAGCCACTAAATCGGACATAGGCGTCTTGAGCAAATCGTGACGTCTTATCCCCGAATTTCTGTCACTTTATTCCACTGTAAGTCGGCGCGGGGCACGGCCTGGGCACGGATCGGACGATCAATGACGTCCATTCCAATAGGACGTCTAACCAGCACCACTAGAATCAGTCCAGTGAGCTATGTATGAGTATATAAATGGGAAATATCTATGCCGATGGTCTAACTCAAGACCATGTAATCAGAACCAGGCATTAGAAACTCAACCTGTACTTCAAGACACCACCATAAAGTTGCGACTGACTACAAAATGGCGCCCAAAGGACTCGCAATCATCATCGGTGCAGGGCCTACTTCCGGCGCCGGGATCGCTCGAATTCTAGCCAGCCCTCAACATGGCAACTTGGCAGTTGCACTACTTGCCAGAAACCCCGAAAACCTCCAGAATCTTGCGACCGATCTACGCAAGTCTTCCAATGGCATACTCCACCCCTTTCCTACAGACACTGAGCCCGAAAACCTCCGGCGGACTTTCCAACAAATCGCAGATCATGCAGACTTCAAAGATCTCAAGCTCAAGCTCGCCATATACCACGTCAAGAACTCGAGCAGGAAGCCATTCCTCGAAGAAACACCAGAGGCTTTCAATGACAGCATGACCACCTTCACAACCGGAGGCGTTGTATTTGCGCAAGAAGCGTTGAAGCTTATGTATGCACAAAATGGAGGGCAGACGCTCCTTTCCGATACTGAGGGTGCGAAGAAGGGCACCATCATTTTCACGGGCACTTTGGGAGCCATGCGCACAAATCAGCAGTACGCTGCCTATGGTGCATCTCGAGCAGCCGCGAGGATGGTAGCCCAGGCTATTGCAAAGGAACACAGCAAGTTTGGTGTACACGTGGTTCATGCTATTGCCAATGGCGGAATTATCGATGAAGAGAATGAGAACACCAAGACCGGCAAGCGTATGCGCGCGGAAGATGTTGGAGAGTTGTATCTTTGGTTGTCACAGCAGCCGAGCTCCCTCTGGACGCATGAGTTGGATATGAGGCCGGCACAGGAGACTTTCTAGGATAGGAACTGAAAAGTATTGGGAGAGAATCTTGTTCTAGAGTAAAAGCTCTAGCCCTTGCAACGTTATTGTTGAAAGACGCGGGTTGGCAATGCAAGCGTATCACGTTAAAAGTAATCTACTTATAGTTCCATTTCGGACGATCTTCAGCGTTAGGCCTTTCTGATGAGATCAAGTTTGCGTTCCAAGTATTTCAGAATTCCCAGACACTGTGATGATTGCTCACTAGGTACGTTGAAACATTCACTGTTAGTCTGTTAGATGATCTACAGCAACTCGATAGGGACCGGATCTCCTCTCGAACTCCTATTACATGTACCATCATGAACACGTTGTCCGATCGCCCCTTGTTCTACGGTCCTACAACATTGCTTTTCTCTGACGCTAAAATGATATGTTCTTTTACAGATTCACTCCCCTCAAACCATATCACGACCTTGAGCCGGCGGTCTCTCCTCTGTTGAATAACACTCAGCCACCATGGTGCCGTTTCCACCTCCCTGTCGTACCAAGTCGGCTTGGCTACCGTTGCGGCTGACAATCTCTATTTTTGTCTCAATGGCGATGTTTGTATTCGTCTTGGTAGCTTTCCGACTCCGCATTGATTGCATGTGATGCGAGTCCCCAGCATTCATCCCACTGTACGCATTGCCTGATCGATACCCACTGCGCTGAGTACTCGCCAACAATTTCGGGAACGCCTTCACGATGAGTGGCTTTAGCGCAGGGACAGAGGCGCAGGCAATGGCGACGTTGATCTCTATGCCGGACCATGTTGCAATGTGGACTCCATCTCCTATTTGTGTGGTGTTAGCCTAATGATATACTAGTTGCTTTATGCCGAATCCTCTCCAAGTCGAGTCTTACGTGATGTGTCGGTAGATACGGAAATCTCGTAAAGAGAGTAAAGCCGAATCATAGAAGTCACACAAACACTGTTGTAGAATTTGTCAGTTACAGACCAGACCAAGAAAGTCTGTTAAATAGAGACTCACAATCCTCCCACGGCGAAGACCATGATGAGCGCAATCTTCTGCTTCTTGGATATTTGCAGAGATTTGATCAGTGGTATTGGAATGCAACAAATGATAATGTCCGAGAGAATGTTCAAAGCTGCGTTGGAAAACCAGAAAGCCAAGCGGTTCATGCACTTCCCCGTGCCGTCGCCCCAGAAGGCCTGTACGGGGACGCACATGAAGATCGATCCGAAGACAGTCCAGGCACCGTATACCGCAAGCACAGCCAGCATGGTCTTGCAAATCTTTTGTGTTGTCGGGATCTTGAACACGCGCAAGTATGAGAAGACGATTGATAGCTTGCAAAGCAACAGAGCTAGATTATAGGTCGGAATCGTCGCCCAGAGACACTGCCGATGTGAAATGTTAGTACATGTACCAAACCTTCAAGTACATTCATCTATAATTCCTAACGTACCTGGAAGAATCGGACCAGGTCATCTTCTGCGATAGTAGACATCGGCATGCCCAATCCATACTTGATTTCTGTGGCGTTGTGAGCAACGTTTCTTCGACGTTGGCATGTGCCTGATGAAAGTACTCACGATGCATTACAACGACACAAAAGCCAATTGAGGCCGCCTAGTTAAAGATCTCAGCTTTCTCATCCCTTTTCCATCTGAGAGTTGGTAAATTGAGCTTACCAGTGCGGCAGGCATCAACCAGTCATCGATGCCAACATTTTGCACCACCACAATGCGCGTGTATAACCGCAGCCCAACCAGGACAAAAGAAAGAGTTGTGAATATTATGCTTGTGACGAAGACGGAGACATTGGGTCCCGCAACCATGTTGTGAACTTACGCGCACAGCGCAAAGAGGATTATTGGACTAATACCAGAAAGATTGTAGAAAGTTAGAAACATGAAGAAAAGGAAACTTTGAATGTGAAGCATGAAGAATCTGCGGATTTTCGGAGGCACGCGCGGCGAAGGGCACTCAGGGAGGATATCATATTGAGTAGGTGCCGTCATCTTCACGCGAATACTTGCGCAGTTACAGCGCGGTCATATTACCATTACTTGAATCTGTTCCAGGCTGAGATGTCTGCATGAACGGGGGCATTCCAACACTCGAAGGGGGTCTCGTTCCTGAAGAAAGTCGTTCGGGATGTGGGCCCGGATCGTCCCCCCGGTTGAAGCCAGGATGAGCCTGCCCCATGCTACATCAAGAGCAAGTCGCGCCGGGGTCCTCAAGGGATAGCATTCCTTCTTACGGCTATACAACGACGGTACAGCCACGGAGTGCTCCTAAATCCCCGCCGCGTATCCTACCTTGGCATCCAAGAAGTTGGCCAACCGTTTCCCAATAAACAGGTTCGGCACAAGCAAAGACTTTGATGGTGCGACAGCTTGTGAAAGAAGGAGGCAAATCAGGTTTCTAGATCCGGATATCTGGGACTTCTGGAAGATATTGGAGACTTGAAGTATCAGAACTGGTCCATTCAGGGGCTATAATGCCACTGTATAAGTCTACCAGCCTCCCCCGGACGTGAATTTTGATAACGCCGACCTAACGATCTCACATTGGGAATTTCGTGCCAGCATTCCCCATTCGACTTTGACGGCTTCATTCCTCTGTATGGGTAATTCTCGGTCCAGACTTGCCCCCCGATTTCTGCCGGTCATGCCACGCGGACCCTGACAGGAACATCTCGATCTCGATGTGATAGTCCCGGTGCCATTATGAACTGCGCCGTTTACACTCGAGTATTATTGAGAGTCATTCTGACCGTCAACCCGGGCTCGCATCTTCGGATCGATCGTTGCCCGAGGGCGCCGAAGGTGGCCATACTTCTCTAGAGGGACCCTGCAACGGTAACTTAAATCCACTTCCGAGCCTTCAAAATCAGTGCATGTATCCCGCCATCTTACGAAAAAGTTGTCCTAACGGAGTCATTTTATGTGAATTGGAGAATTCAGAGGTGTCATCATTCGAAATCAGGGATTTTTTACCTTGTTTTTTTTTTCTTTTTGTGAGGTTCAGCGTCTAATTACCCACCAACTGCATCTGCGTTCCTACAATTTGCCACAATGTTCCCTGATGCGGTAGTAGTATTATTGCCCACCTTCAAACTCTCTTAGTGCATCCCGTCCATAGTAGAGCTTACTTTACATATCGTGTCGGAGCTGATTCCGTTTCTGCCAGCAATAAAAATCCCTCGAAGCCACGCTGACACATGATGGAATCATGCGTGTTCTGTGAGTGTGACCTTTACTTGCCATAACATGGGTGGATACTCGGAATAAGTCCGATCAACATTCGTTGCGTCGGTGTTTAGATCAATCTTACGAGCTCCAGAAGTCAATACAAACAATGCTGGTGAGTCAGAACGGTTTTCTGGTCTGGAGCTGGTTGGCTTAATGCTCCCTTCAGACTGTATTGCATACACCTATTGTGTTAATTTGTGTCTTTATTATTCATTACAGGTTGCGTAAGCGAGCATCACTCATTTGACTGTGAGCGAGGTCAAGACATGCAGGGGATAAATTTCGCAACTCGGTTGGTGTCTTCGCGAAGTTCATAAGATCCCAACCAGGGTTGACCAAGATACCCACTGGCAGGGATACAACCCCAGTCCGAACCTGCAGCGACTCGTCCAGCTACTTCTTTGGCCCTAAAGGGGATTCGTTTTCCGAATCACGAATGCTACACCTTCTGCGCGCAAATTTTCGGACCCCCATCATACATGATGCGATTATGCTTCATGTCAATAATCCAACAGATGTCTAACGTGCGATCTTCACTGATACATCAAGACTTGAAGTCGAAGCAGTCTTGTTGATCAGCCAAGTCTGGGCAGAAAAAACAAGAGTTTAAACTCTGGGCTTCCCCAGAAGATGAAAATCGACTAGCGAGGATCCCCTGCCCTCGGCATCACTTGGTCCGGGCTTGTCCATCCACTGATCACTCGTCCCTGAGAACGCCCGCCGTATGATCGAACCCAGATGTGATTTCCAATCAGTTGGCATGTCCAAGATCTCGAAGTCTGTGTGGCATTGTCTGTTCGGACGACCCTTATACGGATGGAAACGCAACGGCCTGGCCCCTTGAGTCTTGGGTACGAATAGGTATCCGTAGTCGTAAAGGGCTGTGTCAACGATTCATGCCACCCTTGCACCAAGAACTGGACATGGTTGAAGGAGCCACAATGCTACCTACGGCTATGAGGGGCCACATCCCGATGTAAAGTCCGTTTACGACCAACGAAGCCCCGGTCCCTGTGTCTTCAAACTGCTACCAACAGAAAAAACAAGTATGATCCACATCTCTAACATTGGATATGCTACCTCGTACGATATTTGCAGGAGTCGAGCTGTTGGAACTGGGAAATACAACTCTTCAACAATACGCTGCAGAATTTGATGCAGGATATCGACAAGGTTTTGGTGGAAAGGCGTAACCGATATTGCACGAGAGATGGCGTACGCTGTACACCAAATCTAGCTCAACAGAGTATTTTTCCTCACCAGGAGCACGCTGTAAGACTCATGCACCATTGTATTAGTTACTTTTTCGAATCTGATTTAACGCGGCGGGCAGGAGAATGTCCGGAATTCGCTCCGCACGCGTTGAGGCAGCATGTTGTACAGCAAACGTGAACTCATTGTGTGCATGGAGCAAGATTCTTATTACAATTTTTACGATTCTCTCTAGTTATGAATTGCCGTTTGAGTTTGAGTTTCATTTTAAGCGAATTGAGAACAGAACATCAGCATGGATATTAGGATACTGGGTTTACTTGGAGTACAATTCATCCTCCTTCTCAGCCGGGGCGTCGATGTGCATGTTGAATTCATTTTCAATCTCAACGAGGAAGAAAGCACCTGCAACGATTGATTAGCTAGAGAGAAACAAGGGATGTAAGCAAGAGGGAACTCACCAATGGCAGCGGCAACTGTAATGGAGCCGGCAGCGATCCAAACGTAACGGAAGCCAAGGCTGTAAGTTTGCAGAAGCGCACCAGCACCTGCCTGGATGATGTCCAGCGTGACTCCCTCAACTTGACTTAATGAAGCGTTATCATGAGCGACCAGAAGACCAATGAATTGCCCAAGAGACGTTTGAGGAAGTCCAAGAGGCAGAACAGCCGCCGCAATATTGGTGGGCATTCTCGAGAGCTGGTCGGTGATGATTGC